ATTACAAATGATTAATTCGACGTGAACGAAGTCGCGGGTACATGCTAGTTTAAAATAATGTCAAGTCCGACTCTGGTTTTTTAAATTATTTAATCCTCGATTTAATCTGATTATATTCATCGCAACAATATTGATCAGCGCTAATTAACATTGAATAAGGAAAATCGAGCCAATTGAAAAATTCAAACAAATAATATCCAGGTCTGCAATTTAAAGATATTATTTTTTAACTTTTTTTATTGTGAATTTGTAATCTCAGTGTACGATCTAATGGCCTAAGAGCTGACGACATATTTAGAGAACATATTTTAGGCAAGCTAGAATAACTAAAAATGTATAGTTTATTAACTGTTGAACCCAGAATCCTAAGTCTGGCTGGAGGGTTGGGGGTATTTCGCTACTGCGCAACCCATAACATTTGCAAAAAAATAAATCCAAAAAACATTCTTTAGGCAACTTGAAATTTGTTTATTCTTAAATTTTAGCATCTATTTAACCTAGAAATAAGTATGCCAGACTTTTTTTTTCGGGTTTAAAGTGTAACCAGACCATTCCAAATATGTTTAATTAATTATTATACCTGGAAAACATACTTTAGGCATTCTAAAATTTTTACAGCGTGTTTATTAGATGATATTAAAAAATATGTGTTAATTGCCAGACGAATTCAATGGGATTTAATACTTGCCAGACGCAAATAAAGATTTTAAATGGGCGCGATAAGAAAGTCTTATGAGTATCTATAAGCGCGAAAAAGATAGTTTATTGAGACCCGGTCGGCAGCCGATGCGGCTGACTTTACAGCATTTTGAAGTCGTAAAAACTTAAAAAAAAACTAACTAATATTGAATAAATAAAAAGAAACATTTTTTAATAAAAATGTATGATTGAAATCCTTTCAATAAGAAGACTTTTTAATTTAAGTATTTTGTATCTTTGAAAGAATAAAAAGACGAATAATTATTTAAAAATTAGCATAATATAAAATATATTTTTTTCAAACGTCACAAAAGTATAATTATTATTATACTTTTGTGACATATTATATTACTATTCATTTTTGCGATCTGATTGACAATATAAAAAAGTCATTTTAACGCCTAAGCATAAAAGTAAAGCACTTTTACTTACTTTTGAATTTATTTAGACAGATTAACAATGGTGTGTACTTTAATAAAATTCCAGAATACATATTTTTTTAGCACTGTACATGGTACCCTTTTGTCGGGACTACGTTTTCTGGTAAAACCACTTCTTTAAATTTTGAACCATGTTGTTGGCGCACTTTTAAAAATTCTTTACATTTTTGTAGTCTGCCTTCATCAAAAACAATAACTTTGTCACTAGTACCTTTTTTACAAACTACACAACTTAAATGTTTTTTATCCATTGTGATTTAGTAGTTAGTAGCGAAATTAGTAGTTACTAAAATATTTATTTGCAGTAATTATTCTAAACTATTTACACTATGCACGTCAATATTTAATTTATAAATACATATTTGTACTTGGTAACTTAATTCCAACAAAATAATCTCTGAATTAAAAGCCGGCAAATAATTGAAATGAAACCGAAAAAAAATTGTTTTTATGAAAATTTGAAGTACATGTGGTACATACTCCAAAATACTGTTACGTCAGCCGCATCGGCTGCCATTCGGCTGCCGACGGGTCTCAATAAACTATCTTTCTCGGGCTTATAGATACTCATAAGACTTTTTTGTCGCGCTCATTTAAAATCTTTATTCGCGTCTGGCAAGTATTAAATCCCGTTGAATTCGTCTGGCAATTAACACATATTTTTTAATATCATCTAATAAACACGCTGTAAAAATTTTAGAATGCCTAAAGTATGTTTTCCAGGTATAATAATTAAACATATTTGGAATGGTCTGGTTACACTTTGAACCCGAAAAAAAATCTGGCATACTTATTTCTAGGTTAAATAGATGCTAAAATTTAAGAATAAACAAATTTCAAGTTGCCTAAAGAAAGTTTTTTGGATTTATTTTTTTGCAAATGTTATGGGTTGCGCAGTAGCGAAATACCCCCAACCCTCCAGCCAGACTTAGGATTCTGGGTTCACAAATTATTAAACTTTTTTTTTTGTTATCCTAACTTGCCTAAAATATGTTCTCTAAATATGTCGCAGCTCTCCGGCTATAATAATATGCATAATATTAATCGGAGTTATTATAAATAAATCAACTTCTACAAACTAGTTTCTAATGCTCTACATGTTTGAAAGGGTTACCTCCCTCCGACCCTCCCTATTGCGCAAATTTATTATTCGTTTAATTTTATTTATAGTTCTTTGAACATAATATATCTTCTTCATATACTTCCGAATGCATTTTGTACTCTTTATTGTAAATGTTGAAAAATCTTGATTTGGTTTGGATTTTTTATTGCATTTGATTTTCCGTATTCAATGTTTTACCCCACGTCATTGTTAAGTTTGAAGGCTTATCAATATTGTAACGATGAATAGATTAAATATTTAAAAAAACACAGAGCCGGACTTGAAATTAGTTTAAATAGATTGTGTTCAAATGTCGGAAACAAAAAAATACTATAAAGCGTGGCATATCATTGTACTCAGGAGACTGAATTCTTTCAAAAACTGAAATAAAAAATGCATGTCCATATTTAAAATAATTAAGTCGGCCTCTGTATTTCACAAATTATCAGCTGATTTGAAAATCTAAAAACACTATCAGATAGCCCTAATAAAGTGGTATGGGAGTGGGCAATTAGTTTTTTGATTTTTTAAAAAGTAGCGACAGGAAAAAATAAAATTGATTTTCAAAAAAATCGTTTTTTCCAAAAAACTCAGCAATCCTTGCAATTTTTAAAACTTTTTTGATGGCATCTTAGTGAACATCCCAAACCGCAACTTTGCCCTAATTTAACCATGTTCGTATCTATTACGGTTACCGAGATACCAATGCTCGTATCCCGAATTTGTACCACCCTGTATACTCCAATTTTTAATTATATTCAGACGCGACCAGTACTTTTAGACAACCTTGAAATGTTCAGTAGTATTTCTTTTTCTAATTTTTTTTTCGCATAATTTAGATGAAAATCAACAGCGTGAATAGGAACGTTACTTACAATTTAATAAATCAATTCAAGGAACAAATGCCATACATCTTGAGTGGCTAAATTATTTTCAAGTATTTAAGCTGGATTTATAAACTCGGAAGTTGGCGTTCAGTTGAGGTTCAGTTGCAGTTGGATGTTCGCGGCAGTTGAGGTTCAATATTTTTGCATTTATAAACTGTCAGTTTCGGTTGTAGGTTAGGTTTAGATTTGTGAAGATTTCGAACGTTTTTCTTTCGATTTAAAAATACTTCTGGTATTTGTCAAAGTTCAAACACAGTAATCCACGATTACGCAAAATATAAACATCACATTAACAGAAATAATGAAACAACAATAAGGGTCATTTTCCAATGCATCGGCGTCCTGTGCTTCACGTGATCGACAGGCGCTTATTCATTGGCTGTCGCCGAACGTCGCCAGCGGTCGCCAACTGCCGACATAAACATTGACCATCTTTGAACTCCGCTGAACGTAAAACGAACTGCCAACTTTTCGACCAACTGACTTTATAAATGCGCGCGTTCATTTCATAGCGTTGAACATTTTGAACGGCAACTGAACCTCAACTGAACCTCAACTCCCGAGTTTATAAATCCAGCTTCATTTAACTTGTTTTGCTCCCTTGTAATTCGCAATGGTTTATAAGTTAATAATGAGAAACAGACGTCACATTTTTGTTTATTAAGACTGGAATGTAATTTGTTTAAACAAAATAAATAGACTAGTATTATGATAAACACATGTAACAAAACTATAACATTATTAGTCAAAAGCATAACAATGTACTATCTGAATTAGTTCATAATAATCTGCATAACAGAGTAACTCAAACGTTAAAACTGTTTTTTTTAATGGATTACAATATAGAGTATTTTAAATGTTATTAGTTTTAAAGTGGATGTTGTTATTATACAGGATGTTCCTTAATGACATGCTAATATTTAAAGGATTAAACACTCGCTTAAACAAGATGGTAAAATTTTACATTTTTTTTTCATAATAATTCTTATGTTATTAAAGATATTATGATACTTGATACACGTTTTCTATGCATCAAAACGCCTTTGTTGATGCACCAACAATTTTATTTACTCCAACCAGAGGCGTCCATACGGGATTTACATTGAATATTTTTGAAGAAAAAATAGTATGCCACTGACTTCTCCTAAAATAAACATTATTTTCAAAATCTTCATTCGTTTTTAAACCATTTGCACATCTTTATTTTTTTCGTCCAAGGCATAGTTTTTGCTTAAAAAAATTCTGTATCAGCTGGATGAAAAATAAAAGATACAACAGAAAAAAATTATTGTACATCAAAAAATGCATTTTTAGGCATAGAAGAATATGTGTAAAATTTCATAAATACATCTATAATCACATTAGAGTTATATGAAGTTCTTTTTCAAAAACACCTTGTATCTCAAAAATTAAGATGTTTAAGACAAGCATTCTTATGAAATTATTTTCTTAAAATAGGTCCAAATAATCACCCCCTTAAATGAATTTCATTAAGAAACACGCTGTATATATCTAATAAAAATTAATAAAAAAAAATCAGTAATTGAAGTCTATGTATATATAAATAATGATTGAAGTCTATACACACTCATCTATACATGTATAAATGATAAGTAGATTATCAATTTTATTGCAAAAATCTACTGAAGATCAAACCTATAACATTCCAACTTGAAAAATTATAAATTTATTATAAAAATATATTCGAATCACTATGTAAAAATATTGGAGTGAAATCTCAAAACAGCAAATTTTATATGATGCTTTTTCCAAAAACTGAGACACCCTATGGTGGGAGGCTAAGGTATAAAATTACCAGGCAATATTTCAAATTCCCTGGACAAAAATGATACAATTATATTTTATACTTACTATGGTAACTGATTTAAAGCCTGTGATGTAAAATTCAGCAAAATCCTTTCCTCGTTCAATGTGTCTATTGAAGGAACATAAATGCAAGCCTCTTCTGGATTACTTGTATAATACTTAGAACTAACAATAGCTTTCAGTAGCTGATAGTACTCCTTAGAGATGCTTTCAGTAACAGGCACCCCATTCGCATCTACGTATTTACGTAAAGGGTAAACATAAACAGCTATCCTATCATGACCAGTCCTTCCACAATTGTAGATATTGAAACAGTCCCAGTGCGTGCATTTGAGATCCCTCGGACTACGGCTTGGCTCTTCTAAACTTAACTTTACCTCGACTAGTTTGTGAACGTTGTTCAAGTTGATTTTCTCAAAATGTTTCAAAGGATCATTTGAGAAGTTTATAAAAGGTAGACTGAGTATAATTATGGTGGATATGAATAAAAGTCCGAGAAAAAAGTGTTTGTACTTTAGATTGCTTGTGAAACTGTGTTGTATTTTAGATATGGTCACCTTGGGGGGAAGCGTCATCGTAAGGGCGACTGTTAGGGCCTGGCTCTTTTTCGCTTCCTGAGCAAATACATGGCACCGAAAACGTTCCTAAACGTACGATATGGCAACCGGTAATAGTTTTACGCACTGTTTAAGTCATGATAGCGAAAAATCCCTTCGAAAACTGGAGAAACATCTTCAATAACACACACACACCACAAAAACATCAAAATTGAACTGACATGACAGCACATGACAGATTTCTGACGTTTTAAACGTCATTAACAAAATGCACTGATATAGGGGAAGGGGGAATGATATTCGACCTTCGACGAATGTATTGTTTATCTTTGTCAGGGCACAAACACGTCAGAATGTCAGAAAGAGAAAGCAAACATTACGTCAAACGTCAAATGTAGCCATATAATGTAGCTAAGTTCAGAGTAGTAATAATTTTTATCATTTTATTCTGATTTTAAACAAAAATTCATTATTTATTAATTAAAACTTATAGATGAAGTTATGAAAAGTCTGTTCAAGACTTCTAAAATATTTTCCAGGTAAGAAATAGCTCTTATTTAATAAAATAACCTTAGATATTCTCATATGTAGAGTTTTATTTGAAGCAAATCGCAAAATGTCTATAGTAAACAATCCAATTGAAATATCCATAAAATCGAAACTAGAAGAAAATCTGAGGCCTTCCTACTTAAAAATTATAAACGAATCGTATATGCATAACGTGCCAAAGAATGCAGAGACACATTTTAAAGTCATTGTAGTATCGGATGAATTCAAAGATTTGCCTCTGATAAAAGTAAGTTATTTATGTTAATTAGGCATTGTTTTTATATATTCTCTTTTATCTACATTTTAGAGGCATAGAAGGGTTAATGAACTGTTGAAAACCGAATTACAGGGAGGTGTACATGCATTATCCATTATTGCAAAGACACCAGACCAATGGAAAGATGAAACTATCGAACCTAGTCCGAATTGTAGAGGTGGATTTGGAAAGTAAATACTTTTTAGTTTGACTTTTGTTATGTGATCTTTAGAGAAATTTGTAATTGTTAGTTATATATTTGAAATTATAATTTAATAAAAATTTTAAAGAGAATAAGGTATTTGTGATTATGCAACCAGACATACACTTCATTAAGGATTTTATGCATTACCATCTATCTAAGATTTACTTAACAAATATTTTTATTAACAATGTTGGCGGGAATAAATTATATTTTCGAGTTAATATTTAATAATATCCTTATAATATTAATATCAAATGGTACATTAATAAAATATATATTTAACACGTATTAGAGTTGCTTTTATCTATCTGAATTGACGTTGCACATGTTGTTATCAAGTAATGACCGATTTAGTGTTATTTACTTCTTCATGGTATTACTTGTGTAATACTGACATAGTCTATTTATATATGAGATAAGAAGTGTTTCATGCTTTAAAAATAACTTAGAAAAATCGTCAATTGGTTATTAATTAGTTCGTCATGCAAATTAAAACAAATATGTTATTTTTTGAAGCTGGAGGGGCATATTTAATTTAAATAAATATGAAAATAATGTACAAGAAATTTAATTTATTGCAACAAATAATACTGGATTTCACAGTGAAATAAATATGTATGTTATTAATAGTTTTCTTTAAAGAAGGCCATACTGGTGTTATTATTCGTATTTTTCGCTCTGGTTTTAAAATTAGGCGTATTTAATTTAAATTATTTCTAAGCAAATAATTATTAGGGTGCTAAAAATATGCAGTGCCATTTAAAAGTATACCTTTAGAAACTTATGATTTCACTAATTTCGTACGTTACTCAGAGCTTTATGATTGCCTCGTTGTATGTTGTAGTATTTTGTTAAATTAAAATAGTCTGTCTAATAAACAAGATATATTTTTTGAACAAAAAAACATTTTTTTTTAAATTGCAGTTTAGTTAAACAATATAGACAGGAGCGTACTAGTTCTTTTTAAAATTTTATGCTAGCAAACCATCATATAATCCAGTATATATCCAAAATAATATAACTCCAATCCAAAGATAATTGATCATATCTGTATTCTTTAAACAATTTTTTAATATTATTTTAATATGAAATATATTATTATAGTAGTTTTTTTCTCGATTGTTGAGGTCCTGCTACTAAAAACTAGACCACCCTGTATAATTTGAAATTTTAAAACTATTTAATAAAATAATTTCTAAAGATAGTTTGTGTAATAATAAACAAATTACACACAATAATATGTTTTTGAATACAATTTACTAAAAGTGTTTTAATAATATTTACTTAATATTAAATTTAATTTACAGTCTTAAAGATTGTAAAGTATGTTGTATTTTTCAAATAATAAAAAAATAACAAGTATGCTGTATAAATCTTTATAGCTGTGTAATAAAATGTATATGTACTAGGTAACTATTTATTTACTAACTAATAATAAAAGTTTTTTATGATATTTTTTTCGACATTAGAGAAAAAATGTGAAAAAACCCTATAATTTTTACCTAATTCAAATTAATTAAAAGACAATTTAATTTATTTTTTTTTCTATTTTTAGCAAATTATAAAATATGTTCTGGAGTAAAAGAACGATTTTGACAGATGGCAAATGTCAAAAATTTTTATACCAGCAGAATAAAACACTAATACACCACCATGCGCGCGTCCGGTGCCTAAATAAAGTGTTTTGTGGTGTATTGTTGATTAGCAAAATGCGCGTCCACTGTTAAGTGTTTTGGCGAATTAGTATTTTATTTTGCTGTGGTAACACTAAATAAGATTCCAATCCTCAACTTTCAAACCTCACCCTCTTTTTTCAAAATTTGTATACTATTTAAAAAAAATATTAATAAAAGTCTTAAAGCATATCCAAACTTTCTATCAACTCCCGCTGTCTCTCCCGGGTTCTCCCTCAAAACTATTAACATATCAGCTCAATCTAAGGCAAATTTTAATAGAATATAAAATTCTGCATACAACAAATATAGTTTGGTTTCTTTTGGACTTGTATTATTATTCTTTTCAACGATATAAAAACTAGTATTGTGTTTTCAGCTATAAGTGGAAGTACCGCTGTCTCTCCCGGACTCTTCCTCAAAATGATTAATATTTCGGCTCAAAATAAAACATATTCTAATAGAATATAAAATTCTGCATACAACAAGTATAGTTTGGATAGCTTTGGGCTTGTATTAATATTTTTTTCAACGGCATAAAAACTCGTACTGTTTTTTCAGCTTTAAGACAAAATAAGCGAAACTACCGATGTCTCTCCCGAACTCTCCCTCAAAACTATTAATATTTAAGCTCAAACTAAGACATATTCTAATAGAATATAAAATTCTGCAAACAACAAGTATAGTTTGGTTTCTTTTGGACTTGTATTAATAATCTTTTCAACGATATTAAAACTAGTATTGTGTTTTCAGCTCTTAAGACAAAATAAGTGGAACTATCGCTGTCTCTCCCGGACTCTCCCTCAAAATGATTAATATTCCGGCTCAAAATAAAACATTTTCTAATAGATTATAAAATTCTGCATACAACAAGTATAGTTCGGATTGCTTTAGGCATGTATTAATATTTTTTTTTACGGCATAAAAATTCGTAGTGTTTTTTCAGCTTTAAGACAAAATAAGTGAAACTACCGATGTCTCTCCCGGACTCTCCCTCAAAACTATTAATACTTAAGCTCAAACTAAGACATATTCTAATAGAATATAAAATTCTGCATATAACAGGTATAGTTTTGTTCTTTTTGGACTTGTATTAATATTATTTTCAACGATATAGAAACTAGTATCGTGTTTTCAGCTCTTAAGACAAAATAAATGGAACTACCGCTGTCTCTCCCGGACTCTCCCTCAAAATGATTAATATTCCGGCTCAAAATAAAACATATTCTAATAGAATATAAAATTCTGCATACAACAGGTATAGTTTGGATTGCTTTAGGCATGTATTAATATTTTTTTCAACGGCATAAAAACTCGTATTGTTTTTTCATCTTTAAGACAAAATAAGTGAAACTACCGATGTCTCTCACGGGCTCTCCCTCAAAACTATTAATATTGAAGCTCAAACTAAGACATATTCTAATAGAATATAAAATTCTGCATACAACAAGTATAGTTTTGTTTCTTTTGGACTTGTATTAATATTCTTTTCAACGATATAGAAACTAGTATCGTGTTTTCAGCTCTTAAGACAAAATAAATGGAACTACCGCTGTCTCTCCCGGGCTCTCCCTCAAAACTATTAATATTTAAGCTCAAACTAAGACATATTCTAATAGAATATAAAATTCTGCATACAACAAGTATAGTTTTGTTTCTTTTGGACTTGTATTAATGTTCTTTTCAACGATATAGAAACTAGTATCGTGTTTTCCGCTCTTAAGACAAAATAAATGAAACTACCGCTGTCTCTCCCGAACTCTGCCTCAAAATGATTAATATTCCGGCTCAAAATAAAACATATTCTAATAGAATATAAAATTCTGCATACAAGTATAGTTTGGATTGCTTTGGCCTTGTATTAATATTTTTTTTAAAAAACATAAAAACTCGTACTGTTTTTTCAGCTTTAAGACAAAATAAGTGAAACTACCGATGTCTCTCCTGGGCTCTCCCTCAAAACTATTAATATTTAAGCTCAAACTAAGACATATTCTAATAGAATATAAAATTCTGCATACAACAAGTATAGTTTTGTTCCTTTTGGACTTGTATTAATGTTCTTTTCAATGATATAAAACAGCTAGTATTGTGTTTTCAGCTCTAAGACAAAATAAGTGGAACTACCGCTGTCTCTCCCCGGCTCTCCCTCAAAATGATTAATATATTGTTAATATTCCGGCTCAAAATAAGACCTATTCTAATAGAATATAAAATTCTGCACACGACTAGAAGTATAGTTTGGTTTATTTTAGTCTTGAATTAATATTCTTTTCAACGGTATAAAAATTCGTATTGTTTTTTCAGCTTTAAAACAAAAAATATAACTAATGCTGTCTGTGTTTTTAGATAACTACATTCTCGCGATTAAACATTCTTGCTTGGATAAAATGCTTACTAAAACACATATGAATATAATAAATAATTATAGACTGTTAAAATTGTTTGTTATCTTTAAATTACGTCAAGATTACTTTATTATTATTACTAAGACATTACAGATTACTATACCATTGTATTTGCATTATTTTATTTTATATGTACACACCATCTCAATCTTTATGAAGCGTCAAGATAGGAATCAGAAAATCTTTTCGAACAACAAAGCTCATACATTATTTGTTTTCTCTCAGTCTGCATATGTCTTTAGTTCAATCAATAACAAGTCGATCGTTGAATAACTATTAAAAGTGCATTTACACTGACATGAGTTTGATCCAAAAAAATACTTCGAATATTTTGGTTTTCTACGTCAATGGAAAAAAAGTAGGTTTTTGTTAAATTATATTATATTTTTTATTAATGTACACATTGTCCGAAAATAGTGCGTCAGGCATTTGTAGCTCCTATAATAATAAAGTTAGGAATTTTGTTTAAGTGCAAAGCTAAAGTTTGTATTAGGATGTATTTCAGAAAAATATTTTAACCTCATCAGGGTAGCTCAAAAAAGTATGATTTTTTTTAAATAGAACACCTGGTATATTATTACATTTTTGGCTTTCTTTTTAACCACTTTACATAATCCTAAGATATTGTTAAATATGTTTTGTTAGTTTCAAACATATTAATAAGTAAAAAAATATTTTTTCAGCCTTCTTTAAAATAATTATTAAAATACAAGAAATGTCCTGAAATAAAAACCATATTAGGTACTTACTTTATATTACGTCTGTATATTATGCATATTAGGGGGTCTGTACTTACTCTGCAACAAATATCGTAATGTTTAACCATACAGGGTGTTCAAAATTGTATGCCAAACTTTTTAAATTATAAAATATATTTTTTTTCGTTTTTTTAAATGGACACTCTGTATATTATTTTTCTGTTAGACGGAGAATTAAAGAATGAACATTTTTTGTATTTAAATTATTTTAAAATTTTTAGCGCTTTCGCAAATATTTGCCATTTTATTACATATCATCGGTGAAATGTGATAAGCCCCTAACCCCATTATTCCTAATTTTAGAGGAGAGAAAAGTTTGTTAAAAAGTTTACGTTAAAAATGATGTACTAAACGGATTATTTACTTAAAATCAAAAATGGAGTTAGCAGGTTATCACGTTTTACTGACGGTATGGCTCTTTCAACGGTAAAATACCAGATAAAAATAAAAATCATTGGGTGACTTTGATAAAAAATTACTATTGAAAACTGGATATGTAATATAATGCCATGAATATTCTGAAATATTTTAAATACAAAAAGTGTTCATTCTTTAGTTCGCTATCTAACAAAAAAAATACAGGGTGTTCCATTTAAAAAAAAACGAAGATAAACTATTTTATATTTTAGAAAGTTCGACATAGAATTTTGTATGTTAGTACAGACCCACTGCAGTAAATACCGAATATAGTTTTGATTTCAGGATATTTCTTGTATTTTTAATAATTTTTTAAAAAAGGCTAAAAAAATTTTATTTTTTTATTTATTAATATCTTTGAAACTATCAAGACATATTTAATAATATCTTAGGATACATAGTGATCAAAAAGAAAGCCAAAAATGGAATAACCATACAGGGCGTTCCATTAAAAAAATCACCCCTATCCACTCGCACTTTTTTGAGCCATTCTGTAGAAGTTAAAATATTTTCCTGAAATACATCCTAAGTTTCCTTATACTATGCTAATGCTAGCTACAGATGCCTGATACACTATTATTATTGTATAAGGTAGTTCAGTCTTTTTTACTTAAGTAATTAAATTTAAAGTTAATAGAAAAATATATTTTGCTGAAGCTACTTACTACTAGTGATGAGTAAGACCAATACCAAGACTCCCTTGGTCTTTGTCTTGCTGCAAGACTCTTGCCAGTCTTGCATTTTTTACAGATTTTTAAATAAAACAGGGTGATTCAGGTGTCCGCAAAAGTCGAGGAAAAAGCTTTTTGGTTTTAAACAAAAAGGTTTTTGGTTAGTGAATTTCATTTCAATTTATTTACATAATATTGGGGCAATAGAAAAAACAAATTTTGAAAATATTACATACAGGGTTATTCAGACATATTTTCAAACCAAAGTTGTATATTTTTAAGTGGAATACAATATATTTTCTTAGCTCAGTGGATTTACCATCAAATATCCATTCCAAAAATACCATAATGTCACATACTTTGAAATATAGCCATTTTTAAACCAAATTTACTGCCTAGCCCTCGTAAAATTCTAAATTCGAAGAATTTCATTTTTTTTAACAGGAAGTCAATAGTTGTACAATAGTGCCTTGTTTTGGTGAATGTTTAAAATTCCTCCAATTTAGAATTTTAAGAGATCAAGCATGCAAGACCGCAAGAGTCTTGCATGCTTGGTCTTGGTCTTGCTGAAATCACATTGTGAATGCACACGTCGGTCTTGGTCTTGGTCTTGTAGCTCCAATGCTAGTGTTATTCTTGCTTTTTGTGCAAGATCAAGACCAAGACTAGTGTCGCTCATCACTACTTTCTACTAATTTAAAAAATAATAATAAACTAGATACGATTTTTTGGCAAAAAGCCACTGTATTTAGAATAGAAATAAAATTACAATATGATAAAAAAAAACGGCGTCAGCGATGGCTAAGAAATGAAAATGGCTGATTTTATATGTAAAATTATATGGGGCTTGTCATCGATCATCATTTCCAAGCCAACTGGATGCCTTTTTTTCGGCAGATATACAGCAGATATATCAGCAACAGATATACAATAGTTTTCAAAATATTTCTAACTAACATTTTCCTTCTTTTATCTAAATAAAAAAAAATATAGGTGGGAATATTTATATCACCAAATAAAAATATAAATCTTGGCAAATAATATAATCGACTTTCTGCAATGCAATATTTATAATTTTCCGTTGTTTGACCAAACTATTAAAAGGTTTATAAATTATGGCTATTTCACAAACTTTTATCTAACTTTTAAGCAAACATTGCGCTAATTTTTATATTTTGGAAATGTTTCAAATGGAATTATACAGGGAGAGTCTTAAATAAGTCCAAATATTTTCAGGGATGATAGATTTCGATAAAAGGAATATATTTTCTCTTTGCCGTTTTTCAAATAGGTTCAAAATATCTGAGTTATTTTACTTTGAAAATTTCTCAAAAAAAAATATTTTTTGCATAAATTTTGAGAACCACTGGATCTTTTCTGGGTTTTCTTTCTTGTAAATTTAATCTACTATCTATGTTCTATTAAGAAATTATGTTTTTAACTTTTTAACTTAAAACTAAAAAAATTTCCAAAAAATTTCAAATTTTCAAAATTTTTCTTTTTCGCACAAATAATCTAATAGACGTGTTTCTGGGGCCGAAATATACTACCCCTAAAAATATTTGCACTTTTTTAAGACTCACCCTGTATAGCTGTAAATTTATTTGTAGGTAGAAGATCATAATGTAGACCCGGAATGGACGCTACTGCAGTATTTGAGATTTAAGCGTATCCTTAAATCAATATATATTTAATAGTTACATATACAGGGTGTCCCAATATCCCGTAAACATAGTGTATAATGATCCCCACGTACTTATTTTTTTTCTAATCAAGTCAAATTCTACAAATGTTCAGACACTTACTATTGCAATAGAATTTTTACTTTTCGACCATTACTTTTATTATTCGCAGGAGACTTTACAACTATCCTCTCTCAGGAAAAGTATACGGTTATATACCATAAAAATTCTATAAATCTTAGCTCGCCTACTGTTTGCAGCTGATCTAAAAATTTTATGGCCATTCATTTTAAAGTAATGTCTTAGTCCGTATTTGCTACTTCGCCTCTATATTTAATATATTCAGATGAATAGAATTAAGAATTAAGAATAAGAATTAAGATTTACATTTTTATAATTTTCACAAATTATAGTTCCTAACACTTTTAGAATAATTAAATAATACATTTTTCGTATACTCGTTATTTAAACCCGTGTATTTGTATACTAATATAGAAGCTGCTTACGATATTCTCCGATCACCAATATTGCTTCTGTCGAGCGCATCCGAGGTAAATCACATTACAAAATATTCTTAACACACTTATTATACAGTTGGCTTGGGTTGTCAAAAAAAAATCAGTGGCGCATATGTTTTTGTTTTGAAAAATATTCCAGTGATAACCCATAAGCACGTCCATGATTAGCATTAACATATGTAGCACTCATAGTAACTTTTACCCTCAAAATTTCATTCGAATCACTAAAATACTTGGAAGAAAATTATAATAAATCGAAAAATTATTAATACTTTAACACTCTGTACATACGAAACAAAGCAGAACCAGACCTATGTTGATAATCTTATTTTTACGTGAGGAATCTCCCCATGAAAGATGGCACATGTTTTTTGAAACACCCTGTATACTCCCTGTTAATGTTAAGTACTTACAGTTAAATATGTTCCTTATTTATTTAAAAAGTGCGTTTATGTGGTACAAAGTTAGGATGTGGTGAAGGAGGATGTGGAGCTTGTACAGTGATGGTCACAAGATTTGACAGAACAAAAAATACGGAAATGTATCCTCTTTGAGTAAATAGTTTTATCAGATTTATGTTCAAGTTATATCATTAAAATATAAAAGTATAAAAATAAAAAAAAACGATTTAAAATCAGTCAAATATAATTCCTTAATTTATTTACTAGCCATATACCTGTAAATGCATGTTTAGCTCCAGTATGCTCTATGCATGGTCTAGCCGTCACTACAGTAGAAGGAATTGGCTCTACCAGAACAAGATTACACCCTGTACAAGAAAGAATAGCCAAGGCACACGGATCGCAATGTGGATTCTGCACTCCGGGTATCTAGAATTCTGTTAAAAACCTTATAAGATACAATATTTATTATTTACAATTTAATTCTGAGCGCTCTAAATACACTGGAAGATCGTCAATAATACACTGAAAACAACGTCAAAAAGGTCTAATCTATTCTATCACACGACCGAAAAAAAAATGGCGTCAAAGACAGCTGGTAAATGACAATCGATGACAATTTTGGCGAGGTTAAGCTCTAGACGTAATTTACTTAGCCTGTACTCTTCTTTATTATTAATGGCGTTTACTGTCAGTTGGTCTTAAGAAGGTTATAATTTATTTTTATATTAAGTAAAAAGATGATTTTAAGTGGTGTAGTTTAAAATTAAAAAAAAATATATTTTTTTAGAAATATATTTGTGTGTCTGAAAACGGTGGGGGGGGTTCTACTTTACCCTCTATTAATATTTCATATTTCTATAATGACGCCTAGAGATTGACCTCGCCGAAAATTATCATCGATTGTCATTCCTCAGCCGTCTTTGACGCCGTTTTTTGATCATATGGTATATAATTCTGTAGGTTTTGTGATGTCGATGTACACCCTGCTCAGACAAACCAAGAACCCAAATTTGGAAGACTTGGAAGAAGCGTTTCAGGGTAACTTGTGTCGGTGTACAGGGTACAGACCTATTTTGGAAGGGTTCAAAACATTTGTTGAACCATGGGAATCAAAAAGAAATGGTTCCATCATCAATGGGAATGGTAATGGAGTTTGTGGGCTTGGTAATAAATGCTGTAAAATGAATGGCAACGTTGAAAAGGGTAAGCTTGAAAGTATTTATTATAACTTTTGACTGATAATTTTTTTTCGTATCCGGCAAACAAATGACCGAAAGAAAGCAAATCACCGAAAAGAAGATTGTTCTAATGAAAAATTTCTGAAAATATGATTCCTCTAAGAACATTTTACCTTTTTTAACCGATTTTGAAAATATTAAGGACGGAGTGTAATGTTGTTGACTTGGTTTGGTTTCTATTAAATGGACAGTGTTTAAATTGGTTAATAATAACCCAACCCTGCATTAGCTTAATATTTTACCAAAAATCGACATTTCAGGGAATTTTAACTTCTGTCTGTAATTCGGCAAAATTTCTTTTTGGGCAACTATATTTTCAGGTAATTTTCTTTTCGGTGAATTGTTTTCGGGTAATTTTCCTAAATCCATTTTTTTTTAATTAGATGATACTGAAAATACTAAGAAAGAACGACTATACCATGCAGAAAAATTTACACCCCTTCACCCATCTCAGGAACCCATTTTCCCTCCAGAATTAAAACTTAGTGATGATTATGATCAACAGTATTTGATAATCAAAGGTCCAAATGTAACTTGGTGAGCTACTGTAATGTTTTAAATTTATCTTCTTTACCTTATTGTTCATAGGTATCGACCCACAAATCTTCAGCAACTCTTAGATCTGAAATTTGAACATCCAGACGCCAAGATCATCGTGGGCAATACTGAAGTCGGTGTTGAAGTTAAATTTAAGAAGATGTCTTATCCTGTGTTGATTAATCCTAGTTTCGTTGATGACCTGAATGTTTTACAAGAAACAGATTATGGTGTAAGGTAATCATTCAAGTATACTAATAGTGCATGCACCCTACAACTTTAGGTTGCATTCTCCAGTCCTATTCTTTTCAAACAGTCTAGCAACTAGGAGACTGAACCCTCCATATAAGATCTCTATGAAATTAAGTACTTATAGCGCTCTTTGGCTAACTGAGAAGTGAATACTTCTTCTTCTTGCGGTGCCGTGCCTGTCTTCAGGCGTTGGCGATCTCCATGACTATTTCGTGGAAGAGTTCTCTATCTTCTGCTACATGAAACAGCCTCTCCACCCCCAGACCGGTCCAGTTCCGTATATTTCTGAGCCATGACAGTTTCTTTCGACCTACCCATCTTCTACCTTCGACTTTTCCTTGAATAATCAAACGAAGAATACACTATTTGGTGCCACGCATTATGTGTCCGAAGTAACTCACCTTTCTGGCCTTGATGGTGGTTAACAGTTCCCGATCTTTGTTCAGCTGTCCAAGAACTTCCTCGTTGCTTATATGTTCGGTCCAAGAAATTTTTCTTGGAGAGTTCTTGGCTTTCCCTTTTCTTGGAGAGTTCTCCGGTAGCACCACATTTCAAAGGCTTCTATTTTATTTATATTCTCGACTTTTAGCGTCCATGTCTCGCATCCGTAAAGAAGAGTGGACCATATGTAACAACGTAGTGTTCGCAATCGGGTTTGCAGTGACAGGTTTCTATTAGTGAGCGTGGTATTCCATTTTTTGAATGTTCTACGTGCCATTTCAATTCTTGCCTTTACTTCTTCGTCACATGTATTTTCACTATTTAGCCAGCTTACTAAATATCTAAAATGTTGTACTTGTTCAATATTGTGTCCGCTGATTTTTATCGGGATTTGATTAATTTGTATTTTACCCACAAACATCCATTTCGGCTTCTTGTGAATACTAACAGAATTTAAATACTCACAGAATTGGCGCATCAGTAACATTGACAGAAACAAGGCAGTTCTTGAAGGAACAAATTAGGAAACATACTGAAGAAAAAACTCGGATATTCAAAGCAATAGTCGATATGCTGTTTTGGTTTGCTGGAAAACAAATTAGAAGTGTTGGGGCTATAGGAGGTAAGATGATTTTATTATTGTTACAGTTGATTTAAAACTAATATCTTTGAATATGTTTTAGGGAATATAATGACTGGAAGTCCGATATCAGATATGCTACCTTTACTTATGGCTACCAGAGTTGAATTGGAGGTTAATCACAAAATGACGGGTCCAAAAATGGTTGTTCTGGATCAGAATTTCTTTACAGGTAACTAGAGATATATATAGGGTGCGTCTCAAAACTGGCTCACCCCTATACTTTTTTATTTTTTCAGTTAAAAAAACAAGATTTGGTATGTTAGTATATGACATAAATTAGGATTGACTGACGCGTTCAATTGTTTTCGGTCACTTCCTGTTTCACCGGAAATGACTACAACTTTTGATTTTTAAATAGCACCCTCGGTATTTTTTTACTTTATTTGATAGAAAATAACACTCTGAATAGAATGACATATCATATGTCAGCTTTTGATATTTTCGCATATTGTTTATTTGAAATTATAACTTGCGGTTCGTAACGAAAATTTGACTCGAAATACCAAGTGTGTGGTATCAAATTATTCGTAAAAAAATGCTTTTTCCAAATATTATGCTAACGAGCCACTCTCGTTCTGTTTGAAAAAATTGAGATACGATTAAAAATACGATTTGAGCATTTTCTAATTGGCCAGGATAAGACACTAAAAACATTAGGCGATCAAATCTATTTTTCCAAGGCTTCTTGATTAAGAATTAGTGTTTTTAACATAGCCATGGCACTCTAGATTGAATTTTAAAATACGATTTTTTATTAAGCGAGAATCTCAAAAGTTGACATATGATATGTCATTCTATTTAGAACTTCATTTTCTATCGAATAAAGTAAAAAAAAATACGGAGGGTGCTATTTAAAAATCAAAAGTTGTAGTAATTTCCGGTGAAACAGGAAGTGACCAAAAACAATTGAATACGTCAATCAATCCTAATTTATGTCATATACTGACATATCTGGTTTTTTTATCTCAAAAAAAAATCAAAAAGGTATAGGGGTGAGCCACTTTTGAGACGCACCCAGTATAAAGTTGTAAATTAATTACCATACAATAAGACACTGAAAATTCAGAAACTAGAGCAACAGAAGTAGATATTTGAAAGAAATACAAGGTTCTTCACCTAACTGGTACTACTGATGAGCGAAGTCTTGGTCTTGCACAAAAAGTAAGACCAAGACTTTTGCAAGTCTTGCAGCAAAACTATGACTACTTATTATAGTGTAAGACAAAGTCCAGTAACAAAGGAGTCTTGGTATTGGTCTTGCATTTGCTCATCACTAACTCGAAAATTAATTTAGGATACAGAAAAACTATTATTTCCCCTGACGAAGTCCTCCAAGCCATCCGTATACCATTCTCAACAGAAAATCAGTATTTTAAAGCTTACAAACAAGCTAGAAGAAGAGAAGACGACATAGCTATAGTCAATGCTGCCATTAATGTTATTTTTGAAAGAAACTCCAGTATTATTTCCGATATTCGCATGGCATTTGGGGGAATGAGTTTCAAGACAGTCACAGCTCCAAGAACCGAGAGAAATCTTAAAGGTGTCATTAAAAAATTATTAGTTTTTTTAGTGTTTCTAAAGATATGTATATTTCAGGTAAATCTTGGTGTAAGTCAACTTTAGAGCAAGCTTATTCGGATTTATTGCAAGACTTGCCTCTGGATCCTTCAGCGCCTGGTGGAATGATACAATACAGAAAGTCCTTGGCTTTGAGTCTCTTTAAAAAAGCTTTCCTATCTATTTGTAAGGATCTACTTAAGAAGTCTATTAAAACGGATTTGGAACTACAAGAATTTGATGCTGCAGATGAACTTAGCCATGTTGAGCAAAAAAGTTCACAGTATTTTACTTTAGTACCTGAAAAAGAAGGAGGTTTTGATACTGTTCACAGACCAGTAGGTATGTATAATTATTATTTTATGTGTCATCATTATCATTTTCAGCTTATTCAACCATTTCCAATTATGGTGTAGTCTCCCTTGCAGTTATCCCTGCTAAGGTATTAATATTATGGCCCCATCTTAGGTTTGGCCTTTTTTCTAGGTCTCTTATTACTTTTGGTCCATGTGTTGTCCGTCTTATTTGCCAGGTGACATACCCATTGGTACTTGAGGAATATGATTCTGGGGATAATATATCCACTCTACTTTGAATGTGGTAGACAAACTAATTCCTAAAACTACTGGACTTATATACTAGAGTCACCCGTAAATTTGTTGAGTGCAGTCAAGCATGAGGTTTTCCACTAAGAACACCTGCATTGGAGCGATTTATGAATGGTTGCCATATTGTTGAAATTTCCATACTGGGATTGCTAGAGATGTTATTATTGTTAGCAATAAATACGGCCTCTTTAAATCTGCGTCCTGCATCTTTTTCCTTTGTGGACAACCCGGTCTTCCGACCATTTATGTTGTGGTGCTTGGACCACATATGATCTGCAGTGTCCAACTTCATCCTTTCACCTCTTTGCGTATGTTTTTTATGTTCGTCAAGTCCTACAGGTAGAGGACGTTTTGTCTCGCCAATATACGACTCACCGCACTCGCAAGGTACCTGGTACATGCACTCTTTCTCTTGGTTTGATAATTCAGGTTTTGTTTTTGTTAGAATACTTCTTAGAGTAGTCCCAGATTTAATAAGTATATCCACTCTATTTTTTACGGTCTTTGTTTGTTATTCCATCATCCCAGCAGAAAACCGCTAAACAAATTTTAACCAAATTTGGCACAAAAATACTGTGGCACCCGAGAATCTAGCCATTAGTTTTTGGCGAGGGTGGGGGTTGGTAAGAGGGTATGGGTGGGGGTTAAAATTTTTAAAAAATCGTAACTCCAAAATTACAGTAGCTAGCGAAACGCGAGTTTCAATTTAAGATTAGGAATAATATTTGCAACAAAATTTGTAATAACGTCAAAATAAGTCAAAGACGCAGTTTTTGAGATAAAAAAAATTGGAAAATTTCCTTTACTTTGAAACTAAAAGAACTGCCTACCAACTTTTTATTAACATATTTTAGTATGGGCGGCTATACGTGCCTCCCGGTGCCAATTTTTTATTTTATTTTTAGATTCTGCGTAAATAGATATTTTTTTTATATATAACGTTATATACTTAAAATTAATAATTTTTGTAATATTTAACATTTGTTTAAACAAATTTAAATATTACAATAACTATTAATTTTAGGTATACAGGGTGGCGCAAAGGTGCCCGGTGGCACAACCGGTGGCGTAGAGGTACAGGCTCTCGTCTACCAATCTCAAGGTGTGGGTTCGATTCCCACACCCGGCATTTCATCAGCCGACTATTTTTATTAAAATAAAAATAGATTGGGTACCTAGGTCGACTCGGCCTTAAATGAGTACTTGGCATTCACAATCCTGAGGTAATAATAGGCGGTTGAAGCGTAGTGCTAGCCACATTATCTTCCTTGTATACCGAACGGCGCGCTCTAGTATAGCAAGCTGTACCTTGCTACTCCCAAGGCGTTAAATGCTATATACGGGAGCTATTATTATATTATATCACAGATAATATATGATTAAGTGTTATCTGTGATTATGTGCTTAAAAGCTTTGGTTTTTGAGATATTAAAAGATATTTAAATATGCATGCTATAATAAAAAAGTTTGTCAACACCTTGTACATTACATTTTAGAATTAATTCTTGTGCTGACTTTGAAGCCAGAGAAATAAACTTTACTAAAAAATTTGATTGCTTCCTTAAATGTATACAGGGGTATCAAAAATAGTATCAAAAAGTAGACCAGCATACTTTAAATATTTATTTTTCGTAAAAAATTCGTTATTTCAAATGCAACACTTGTATTTTTTTAAATAAGTCGAAGCAGATTTGAATGCTCTTTCAAACTATATTAGGATTTCCTATACCTATCTGGCTTAGATTTTGAATAAAAAGCGATTTTTAAATAAAATTGTAATCAAGATGGCTGGTGTCGCCATGACAATTTTCTAGTGACACTTGGTAGCTATTTTCAAAATCGACATTAGTTTATGGACTTTATTTAAATTTATAACAGATAATTTTTATTTAATTTACCTACAATAAGGTTAATAAGTAAGTATTTATTATTTTATCAAGAAAAATGAAGCAGTATCTGCTGGCGGAAGGAATGGATATGTTACTAGTGATTTTATTTTGTGAGGACAATAATTGCTTGTTGGCCTGAAGGGTTTATGCTTAAAGATATCCAAATTTTCTTGACAAGCGTTCCTTTGAAAAACTGCTTTTCCTATTTCGCAGAGCTGATAGTGTGGTATATGAAAAATCTATTAGGCAGAAACCTGTCGTTGGAAGTGAAGAAAATGAATTTGCTTTAATTGATAATAATCTACAACTGAGCGTACAACAACATGACAACTCATCGTAATATAAATCAAAGAACTACTTCTTTATTTTTTTTATAAAATAATAAATACTTACTCATTAATTAAACTACTGTAGGTAAGTTAATAAAAGTAAACTGTTATAAATTTAAATAAAGTCCATAAACTAATGTCGATTTTGAAAATAGCTACCAAATGTCACTAGAAAATTTCTTGACAACAGCCATCTTGATTGCCATTTTATTGAAAAATCGCTTTTTATTCAAAATCTGAACCAGATAGGTATAGGAAACCCTAATATAGTTTGAAAGAGCATTTAAATCTGCTTCAACTCATTTAAAAAAATTAATTTTTTTTTAGGAATCCCTAATATAGTTTGAAAGAGCATTTAAATCTGCTTCAACTCATTTAAAAAAATATATAGTGTTGCATTTGAAATAACAAAGTTTTTATGTAAAATATATATTTAAAATAGACCAGCAATTTTTGATACCCCAGTATACATTTAAGGAAGCAATCAAATTTTTTAGTAAAGTTTATTTCTCTGGCTTCAAATTCAGCACAACAATTAAGTCGGAAAAGTAATTTACAGGGTGTTAACAAACTTTTTTATTATAGCATGCATATTTAAATATCATTAAATATCTCAAAAACCAAAGCATTTAAACATATTAAACCCTTATAATAAATGTCTTATTTTATGTCCAAGAATCCAAAAATGAAATAAAATACCGGGTGTTCCATAAGAAAAAATATAACTTTGGTATGGATCTTAGTTCTGACACACCCTGTACATTTGAAAATAATTTTAAATTATGCTCATTGCCTCTCTACTTATACCCATAAAATATTTTGTTTCTACATCTTTCCGTTTTTGTATAATCAACCGAGGCGAATGAGGTGCGCCGCCCTGTATAACATTATATATAAAAAAGTTATGGAATTTTACGCAGAATCTAAAAATAAAATAAAAAAGAGGGTGTTGCATTTAATAAAATATGTTATATCCGATACATTTTTTTCAAGCACTCTGTATACTCTATAATAATTTTAAAATGTGTATCTTAACCTTCTCTATAACTTTTATATTTAACATTTTTTTGTAATCTTCGAAACAAATGAGATAATGGAGTTTACTCTATCGTTGACATTCATTTTCAGTTCATATGTCGGCGTTTAAGCAGGCATCAGGGGAGGCAGTATATTGCGACGACATGCCGTTTTTCGAAAACGAATTGAGTCTAGCCTTCGTGACCAGCACAAGACCGCATGCTAAAATCCTTTCCATAGACCGATCGAAGGCTTTGAAGGTGCAGGGAGTCTGTGGTTTCGTCAGTGCCGAAGATATTAGACCCGGAGGCAATGTCTGGGGCTGCATCGTACACGATGAAAAAGTATATTACAGTGACGAGGTCACTAGTCAGGGACAAATTATCGGTATGTAGTGATGGGCATTACGATTCTTTTTAGTGAATCGAATCATACGTTTCAATTTCTCATACTGAATCAACTTTTACGATTCGTTCATTTGGACAAACCACGTATACACATTTTACGTTTTACAGTACAAATAGATATTTTTTTGAAAATAAGTTTCACGTCGCTTGCGTTTTATATTCATAATGTTTGTTTAGGGCTTTTGATGCCCTTATATACAAGGTGGCTTTTCTAGGATGTTCTCTATGGGTATCTCGGAAACTACTGGAGATAGAGATAGAGATAAAGAGTCGGTTAAATTGGAAAAGAATTGCAGTTTTGTGGGGTCATAAATATGCGCCTTTCAGATTTTTGAAAAAGTTTATAGCTTACTAGATATTTCGAAAAAAAACAAATTTTGGCTATTTTTAAAATCGTCTCTATTTCCGTTATAATCTATCTAAGAGAAAAAGTTTTCAGATAATAGTTGTAGATAATCACATCCTTAATAAGATTGTGTCCGCCGTTTTTTCTAAAGCCCGTCATTTTTGACATATGACACAAACCCTTTTTTTTTAAATGGAAACCATAGTTGCCATAACTTCATAAAATGCGCCGTTTTTTAAGCTTTTTAGCGATATAAGCTATAATATGTTTTTTTTTCGAAAAATTACTTAGTTATAGATAGCCAATTCTTATCTTTTTTGACTAATTTCACTTAGTTGGCATGGTATTCTTATTCTGTTATGATTTATAACTTATAAAGAGACAGAATATATTATTAAACGGTTCATTACAATTTACATTACACAAACTAAAACTAAAAAAAAATAATATCACTACACACACTTTAAGTTATTTTCGAAAATGTTCAAAAAATCCGTCATTGTTTTGAGTACATAAATGCATCTTTTTAAAAATGAATTACTATGTAGGTATTCTCACAGAACGACCGGTCGACTTTATTAAACTTCTCCCGTACCGGGTCTTCGAGTGCCTCTCTTAATTCATAAGTTCTTTTGTAAACCTTGTTAACCATACCGCATAAAAAAATCTAAAATGGATAGGTCAGGTGATCGGGAGGTCCATGCAATTGATCCACCTCTTCATATCCCTGAGTTTGCATAATTATGATATAAATAATTTTTAACATTTCTTTTATTATGGGGGGGGAGGGGTGCCATAATGAAAGTCATGTAGGAACCACTCTATTGATGCGCGAGTCTCTAAATTTAACTTTTCTAACATATCTTGAAAACTGTTCTCTAAGAAACGTAAGTAACGTTCACCGGTCAACGTATCCTCGAAAATGTATGGCCAAAAAGAGTTAAACCAATAATCATACACGCTTTTCTTCATTTGAAAAATTCATATTTACAATTTTTGTTTATTTTAATTTACAAAGTTTGGACGTGACAGTTTCACATTTCTGGGAGCAACGACGATTGAACTTATTTCCATTTCCATAACTAAGTGAAATTGTTTAAAAATTTAAGAATTGGCTATAACTCAGTAATTTTTAGAAAAAAAAATATTATAACCTATATCACTGAAAAGCTTAAAAAATGACGCTTTTTATGAAGTCATGGCCAACTATGGTTTTCATTTAAAAAAACATATATTTGTGGCATATGTAAAAAATGACAGGTTTTAGAAAAAACGGCGGACATAATCTCATTAAGGATGTGATTATCTACAACTTTTATCTGAAAACTTTTTGTCTAAAATAGATTATAACGGAATCAGAGACAATTTTTAAAATAGCCGAAATTTGTTTTTTTCGAAATATCTAGCAAGCCATGAACTTTTTCAAAAATCTGAAAAGCGCATATTTATGACCCCACAAAACTGCAATTCTTTTCTCATTTAACCGACTCTCTATCTGAAGTAGTTTCCGAGATACCCATAGAGAACATCGTAGAAAACTCACCCTGTATAATGCATTCTTCATAATTATGAAGACGGCGCCGGCGTTAGATTACAGTTTATTTTATTACTGATCTATATTTATATCATTGCTATTACCTATATTACAAACGTTTGGATACCAAAGCTCATAGTTTATAATTCTAATATTGATTTTTTTAACGAGCCGTATTGTAAGAAATGAATTAATTCTCATGATTCTTTGAACGAACGTATAGGAGCTGTAGTTGCTGAAACCCAGGCCATAGCCAAAAAAGCCGCCCAACTAGTCAAAGTAGAATACGAAGACTTGAGTCCTGTTATAATAACCATAGAAGAAGCCATAGAACATAAGTCGTTTTTTGGGGATCCACATAGAATAATTGAACACGGAAGCAACCTAGACGAGGTAAAACTTGTTATCTTACTTTGGTATTGAAGAAAAAAAAAATAGATTCAATCTATTCTAGGTTTTTAAGAATGCTCCTCACGTTTTGGAAGGAAGATGTAGAATTGGAGGTCAGGAACATTTTTATTTTGAGACTCAGGGTTTGATAGCAGTGCCTAGAGGTGAAGATGACGAGATGGTTATCTATTCTTCAACGCAGAATCCGTCAGAGATTCAGGTTTGTGATTTCTATTACAATTTCATATTTTCACTTACTACTAAGTTTACTTTTTTCCGAGACTCTTTGTTACAGTTTTCTTACAGTGTTTCGGACAGTTTTCCATTATTTTTCATATTCATAATTAATTTTTGAAGCCCCTCACTAAGAATCACAATAATCTCTTGTAATTAAGTTCTACCACAATGTCGTTACAGATACTATACTGATTTTGCTTATATTATGTTCATTTTGGGTGCTCATATTAAAGTTGTTTTATTTGCCTTGCAGCAATTAGTAGCTGAAGTCTTAGGCATTCACCAGAACAAAATCACTTGTGAAGTCAAACGTTTAGGCGGAGGTTTCGGTGGTAAAGAAACCAAAGCAGCGGCCACTGCAGTGTCAGTGGCCGTAGCTGCCAAGAAGTTCAACCGACCAATCAGGTGCATGCTGGACAGGGACGAAGATATGTTGATTACGGGAGGGAGACATCCTGCTCTGATGAAATACAGGGTAGCATTTGACAAGAGAGGAAAGATATTGGGTTGTGAGGCGGAGATATACGTCAATGGAGGGTATTCACTGGATTTATCCAGAGGCGTAAGTAAAGAAAAATATTTCTGGAAAAAAACCTTTAACAGATAAAAAAAATGTTGACAAAAATCTATTCAGGCTAGTATGTTTTTCAATTACACTTGATAACGGTCAGTGATCCTTCTGACCGAAACGTTGTGTTAATCATAAATAACTAATGACAATGGAAGTCCGAAATTCTTTTAGTTTCAAAACTGAATCATTGTCTACTACATTCGAAACAAAACAATTGTAAGAAAATAATTTTGTGGTAATCCATGAAATTGGGAATTTTAGGTCATATTTCATATTTCATGCTCGATTTCATGTTATTGATACCGTATTCTATTCAGAGTTTCATGTTCTATCGAATAAAGCAACAAAACACCGAGGGTACCATTTAAAAGTCAAAAGTCGTAGTCATTTTCGGTGAAATAGGAAGTAACAGAAAACAATTGAATACGTCAATCAATCCTAATTTATGTCATACATTAATATACCAAATCTCGATTTTTTATCTGAAAAAATAAAAAAGTTATAGAGGTGAGCCACTTTTGAGACGCACCCGGTATATATAAACTATTTTTGGAGACTTTTTGTCAAATCACAAAAATACTGCAGTTGAAGTTCTAACCCAATATCATTCCAGATTTACATGCTTTGCATAAAACCAACTATAAAATAAGCCAAAAATAACATGAAATAAACTCAGTAGAGCACAATATACTCTCAAAATTTTAAATGGTGTCAGTGTCCATCTATAGTACAATTTTTTATAGGTCTGTGAAAGAGCCATGACCCACTTTGAAAATTCCTACCACTTCCCAGTTTGCAAAGTAACCGGTTGGATCTGTAAGACAAATATTCCCTCCAACACAGCTTTTAGAGGGTTCGGAGGACCTCAAGGAATGTTTTTAGCCGAATCTATGGTTCAACAAATAGCGGAGTATCTTGAAGTGGACAGAGAAACAGTGAGCGAAATAAACTTGTACTCCACTGGTCATTTGACGCCTTTCAACCAAACTTTGGAGAACTGTACCGCGGACAAATGTTGGAAAGAGTGCGAGAAAATGTCGGAATTCTTTAGACGAAAGGAACTTGTAGAAAAATTTAACAGGTAAAGTATACAGGGTATCCCAGAAATAAGTGCAAGTATTTAACGGGTAGTTCAACCCCAGCAACACGCCAATGAGATTTTCTCGCGAAAAAAAAATTGAAAATTTGAAAAAAAAATTGGAATTTTTTTTAGTTTTTAGTTAAAAATTAGTTATTATTTTATGATTAGATTAAATTTACAAGAAAGAAAATCCAGAAAAGGTCCAGTGGTTCTCAAAATTTTAGCAAAAAATCATTTTTTTTGGAAATCTTCAAAGTAAAATAACTCCGTTATTTTGGACTTATTTGAAAAACGATAAAGAGAAAATATGTTTCTTTTATCGAGATCTACCATCCTCTAAAATACTTGCACTTATTTTTGGGACACCCTGTATAGGTATAAATAGTGTAAAAATCATTGTTTAAGAAAATTTAGAACACAGGATGTTGTGTACAAAAAATTATTTACCAGGAGTGCGATAATGCCCCCCTGGGCATTATTGGAGGATGACAATTGAATCGAAATCACGTACTAACGCTTTTCGTGCATAAAACGTTGTATTTTTACTTCATCATTATGTTTGTATTTCTTCATTTATATGTAAGATAATGCCAACTTGGGCATTATTGTAGGACGATAACGCCTACTTGGGCATTATTGTAGAACGATAATGCCCATATAGAATTATTTTACCACAATAATACCCTTACGGGCATTGTATTTTAATTTATTAACATTTTATTTTTTACTTTATTATTATTTTAGAATTTTTATGAGAATTTTTCAAACGAGTTCATACATCTAAAGACAGAAACATGACAAAAAATACAATTCATCTCCGAGTTAAAATGACAGATAACAATTCCATCGTCTAGTTGGAGAGGCATTAGATCATAATGCCTATGGACGTTATAGACTTATTTACGTAATTGGTATCCAATTTTTAACAATAATTCAAAAATAATAATGAAGCATTAATTGTAATTTAATCATATAACCTTAGTAAATAATGTCTGTCTATACCTTTGTGGTGGGTCTATTTAATAAAAAAAAAACGTTTGTGTTTTTCGACACTAGAACAAAATCGACAAAAAAATCTTTAGAAACAAAAAAAAAACAAAGAACAAAGCAAAAAATCAATAAAAATGTTTATTAGTTACTTTTGCTTCTGAGGAGATATACCTCCTGAAACGTTAAGCATTTTTTGTCAATTTTCGAAAAACCCAGAACTCATTTTTGCTGACAATATTTTCAATACTTAGGCAACATAGATATAAAAAACGAGGTATTTGTATGCTGCCAACGAAATTTGGAATAGCGTTTGGAGCGACGTTTTTGAACAAAGCCGGTGCTTTGGTTAATGTTTACGTAGACGGTTCTGTGTTAGTACACCATGCAGGTAACTACTAGATTTGCAAGTACCACAAGATATTTTAATATATTTTTTAAATCTAGGTATAGAAATGGGACAAGGTCTAATCACAAAAATGATCCAAGTTGCAAGCAAGGCACTGGAAATACCAATTGAAAAAATTCACACCAGAGGCTACAGTTCTGATATCATACCTAACACAAGTCCCACTGCTGCCAGTACAGGCAGTGATTTGAATGGAATGGCTGTTCTGGTAAGTTATATACAGTAACTAATAGTCACTGACTATACAGGGTGTCCCAGAAATAAGTGCAAGTATTTTAACTGGTAGTATAGTTCAACCCCAGAAACACACCTGTGAGGTATTTTTCGTAAAAAAAAATTGAAAATTCGAAAAAAATTTAAAATTTTTTTGGAATTTTTTTTAGTTCTTAGTTAAAAAACATAAGTTCTTGATAATATGGCAACATAGGTATTAGATTAAATTTATAAGAAAGAAAATTCAGAAAAGATCCAGTGGTTTTCAAAATTTTAGCAAAAAATCATTTTTTTGGAAATTTTCAAGATAAAATAACTCCGTTATTTTGGACTTATTTCAAAAACGATAAAGAGAAAATCTTTTACCAATTATTCTACCAAGATCTACCACCCCTTAAAATACTTGCACTTATTTCTGCGACACCCTGTATGTATAGGGTGGTCCGAATTGTATTCCGGAAACTTCGGCAGCATATTCTGCAGATGAAAATAAGTAAAAAAGTTTGTGTAAATGTATGCCCTAAAATGCTTACTTTGGGAGATACAGGGTGTAGAAATTTCATTTTTATTTCGATTTTTTCGAAATAATTTCTTAACTAATATCGATATTTGAATGAAAATTGGTGTCTGGGAGTTTTTTGACATGAGAAAAATTTGATTTTGATATCAAAATGACTCCTACTTGTAGAGGGCGCCACCTACATGTAGGTCTCTTGTAGGTACATGTCTCTTGGTAAAAATCGTTACCAGTAATGATTCTCCAGATATTTGGAATCGAAATTATCAATACCTGTCATAATTGAAATAAATGAAACATGTTGACTAAATAGTTATTAGACTGAAATTATAAATTTGAAATCTTTTTGTGCCAAAAGTTCAACAGAAACTGTGTTTATCATCATTTTTTGGAAGAAAAAATTATGATTAACTTAAAAAAGTAAAAAGTTCCCAAATTTATCATTTCAGTCAAATAACTATCTACTCAGCATGTTTATTTTTTGTTAATAATTACATGTATTAACTATTTCCATCCATGACTGCTTGTCGAACTCCAATTAGCAGAATTGTCGTTTTGATACCACTCAGAGTGAGTGGTTTCATCCCTATCCCTAGGGATGGTACCTATGGAGACCCTATTTAACATACATTTAAAAAAAATATTTACAACTTTGCTGTAAAATTAATAGGGGAGCCAATATTTGGACAGTTCAAAATTTATGCACCACCCTGTATATTCAAAACATGTTTATTTAGAATATGTGTCTCATGACATTACGAATTACGAAATATTTTTTTATATTGCTTGTAATAAAATTTAAGAACCATTTGGACTTTACAAGAAGTTAAATCCTAATAATTAGTGATGGAAAAACCGATTAATTTCAATAATCGAGTACTCGAGTTTCAAGCGATTACAATAATCGAGCGATCGCTCGAGCGAAATATCGCTCGTATTTAAAAATACGGTTTTTTGCCCGTCCCTTGTAAATACTCGTTACCGCCAAGCATCAAGCAGTAAGTTGCGTGCGCAGGGCACATATTCTTTCGGTGATGAATGGCAAGTAGCAAGCGACAGGCGATTCGCTTGATTTAGTTCATTTCAAAGTATTATCGATGTAGGTAGTAGAATTTTGTCACTCAGATACGCAACGGATAACGTCGTATAAATTTGCTACCTGCAATGTATGTAGAAAATTCGCTCGGCTTTTTATCGAGTATGTCACATTAAAATCGGATTTTAATTTATTTTATTCTAGGATCGCTTGCGTTCGATACTCGTAACTCGTCACTTGCATCGAATTTTCGCTCGAGTTATTCCATCACTACTAATGATCCTAAATAAGACAAAACGTGTTTATTTAGAATATGTGTCTCATGACATTACAAATTATGAAATATTTCTTTTTTTTTTCAGATTGCTTGTAATAAAATTAAAGAACGTCTTGGACCATACAAGAAGCAAAATCCTAATGGAAAATGGGAAGAGTGGGTTATCACCGCATACCGTGACAGGTAAAAAAATGATATTTATAAAAGGCGTCATTCTTCCCAAAGAAACCTGGTTTGTAAATTTCAAAAAAAGAAGACTTTTAGTCTTTTTTCTTCTTTTTGATTTAAAAAAAATACTAAAAATATAAAGAAAAGCAAAACAATATACAGGGTCGCTGTTATGTATGGAAATGGTCGATTATTAGGTATATAGGAGGTACCGCAAAAAGTTAAATACAAAACCTCCTATATTTTACCTAATAATCGACCGTTTCCATACATAATAGCGACCCTGTATATACAAATATTTTTTTTGTATACAGGGTGTCAAAAAAATAGTGTATCTAACTTCGATGGGTGATTTTACAGATAAAAATATAAAAATAAAAGAAAACGTTTCTATGAACATATGCCCTGAAATGCTTCCCGAAGAAATTACAGCCCTCGAGAAGAATAAAATATATTTTGTTTATTATTAAAAGGACATTGGTAAACCCTTTTTCCTGACATTTGGTACTCTTACGCATATTTTAATGCCAAAACGAATGACGGGTTCACCGTTCACCTTTTCGAACGAAACAAAAATCACCTGTTTTACATAAAAAAATTCCTAGTTTTAATTTTCATTTATTGAAATTTGATTCATTTTTCTATGTTTTTATATTTTTGGTTGTATATTTAGGGTAAATCTCTCAGCCGAGGGTTTCTACATAACACCGGACATTGGTCATGATTGGGACACAAACCAAGGCAACCTCTACAACTACTTCACTTACGGAGCAGCTTGCAGTGAAGTAGAAATTGACACTTTGACAGGCGACCACAAGGTGCTGCGTTGTGATATTGTCATGGATTTAGGAGAAAGCCTGAACCCAGCTATCGATGTAGGGCAAATCGAGGGTGCCTTCATGCAAGGCTATGGTCTGTTTGTTCTAGAGGAGTTAGTTTACTCCCCTGAAGGTACATTGTTTACTAGAGGACCAGGGACATATAAACTACCCGGTATGGGAGACATTCCTAGCGAGTTTAATGTGTCTTTGTTGAAAGGAACGTCCAATCCTCGAGCAGTATATTCTTCGAAGGTATTATTTGTTTATAATTACATACCGGATGCGTCTCAAAAGTAGCTCACCCCTATAACTTTTTTTATTTTTCAGATAAAACAACGAGATTTGGTATGTTAGTATATGACATAAATTAGGATTGATTGACGTATTCAATTGTTTTTGGTCACTTCCTGTTTCACCGGAAATGACTACAACTTTTGATTTTTAAATGGCACCCTCGGTATATTTTTTTTTACTTTATTCGATAGAAAATGGCACTCTAAATCGAATGACATATTATATGTCAACTTTTGACATTTTCGCACATGGTTTATTTAAAATTGTGACATGCGGTTCATAAGACAATTTGACTCGAAATACCAAGTGCGTGGTATCAAATTATTCGTAAAAAAATGCTTTTTCCAAATATGCTAATGAGCCACCCTCGTTCCATTTGAAAAAATTGAGATATGATTAAAAATACGATTAGGGCATTTTTTAACCGGCCAGGACAAGACACTAAAACATTAGAATTAGATGATTAAATCTATTTTTCCAAGGCTCCTTGGCTAAAAATTAGTGTTTTGACACAGCCATATGGCACTCTAGATTGAAATTTAAACTATAGTTTATTTTTGAGTGACTATATCAAAAGTTGACATAGGATATGTCTTTAGATTCCGCGTGTCATTTTCTATCGAATAAAGTAAAAAAATATCGAGGGTGTCATTTAAAAATCAAAAGTTGTAGTCATTTCCAGTGAAAGTGACCGAAAATAAATGAATACGTCAATCGATCCCAATTTATGTCATATACCAACACACCAAATCTCGTTGTTTTTGATGAAAAAATAAAAAAGTTATAGGGGTGAGCCACTTTGGATCTTTTTCAAGGACCAACTACAATATAACGATAATATTTTTTAATTATATTTCTTTATAATAAAAATGAAAATAAAATACCATTGAACGTAGATATGCATATTTTGTCATTCACACACATATTTCCAAACATTTAATTACATTAATTGACCTTAACAAATAGACAACTCTTATTGACAACTCTTAATCTCTGATACCATGGTAACGGGTTTCGGGAAAAATTCGGTGGCTTTAATTTTCTTTTAAATAAATCATTTTTTTTTAATTTTCTTGAACTTGAGAGAAAAAATCTCTAATCGAGATCTACCAACCCTGAAAATATTTGCACTTATTTAAGACTAACTCTGCATATTATAGTAGGAGAGCTCAAGATGATAAATGTGGATTTACTTGAGCGTTTTGGAGACCTATTGGATTGTGAAAATACATGCTAAAAAGAAAAAAGGGTTATATGATGTATGCTTTTTTACTGGTGGGGGGAGCGTGTACAAGGTTTCAAAAAAAAACTTTGAGACCACAGACCACACAAAACAAATTTGTTGGTTAACAGCAGTTAGTAGTAGTCAGAGATATAGATGTAGTCTAACGTCACAAATTCTGCTGCAGCCCGTATATGGGCGTTACATGTCCTTGTATTCTTTAGTCATTGGATTTACCAATGGCATCGCCACAAGATTCATGTATTGTGGGAGTACTTAACAGGGTGCAAGGTTTCTCCCCTTCTATTATTCCGCGGCGCTTGAGTAAATCCCAAAATCACCGCTTAGGCTTCCCTACTAATATGAATCCGGAGTTTAACCATAGTTTTTTATTGCAAATAATTACTCTTCATACATATTTATGACAATATTAAGAATTTCAAATTTACACTTTTGCAATCTCTGACGTCAACTATCAAACGTGTCACGGTTGGCCATCAGGTACAAAGGTAAATAAAAACCATTTTTCTAAATGTATTTTAAAGTAGATATAAAATTAATTATTGTAAAATAAAACTTAAGGAACTTACGATAAAATGATCTTCACAGCAGAATTCTCGTACTTTTGCTGACATATGTTGTCTTGCCACTTCAAACCAGGCTCTTCGACGGCTTTCATCCAAAGGAACAGTTATAAAAACTTTTTCTGGAGAGCCTTCAGAGTTATTTAGACATCCCTTCATAAAACAAACTTTAACACCCTTCATTACAAAAATAATAAAGAGGGTACAATAAAACAAAATCGAAAACTCAAAGTATTTAACTCCAAACGCAAAATCCATTTGAAATACAAATCTAACCTCGAACCCTCGAACGCCTCGAATATCCGAACAACTTTGGTAGTGTTTAGTGCTTCGATAAAAATGGCAGTAACTTATTAATTATAAAAATTTAAGTTTTAATTTCTAGTATTAAAAAATATAAAAGTAAATTTAATATTGGGGTAATAAAGAATAATCCCATATAAAAACGTATTTTTAACGATCTTAATAAAAATAGAAAAATCTAACATGATTTTAAGATATATGGTGTAAATACGGTAGCAGAGAACTAGACACGCCACAATATTATTCTTCAGAGGCTCGCGCCCTCTGTCAACTATTCAGTCAAATGCTGATAGGTGACGTCACAATTTTCTACGCGTTATTTCAAACCTGTGAAATTTGTATTGAATTAAATTTATTATTTATTCTTTAATTGTAACTACATTGCATTTCTTTCTGTATTGAGGGAGTACATTTTAATCACTTCAATTGAATTTTATATTAAAAATAACAAAAATTAACTATGGTTAAACACCGGATTGACGGATTTTTAAGATAACGGTGATTAAAGTAATATTTTATTTTTCAGGCTGTGGGCGAACCCCCGTTATTTTTAGCTTCATCCATACTTTTCGCGATTAAAAAAGCGATTATATCGGCCAGAATGGATAACAATGCAAAGGGTTTCTTTGAATTGGACGCGCCCGCAACATCTGCCAAAATACGAATGGCTTGTACAGATAACATAACGGCTAAGGTATTGCGTTCTTTCGTGTTTCTCCTAATTTAAATAAATGGCATTTTTTTTCTGGGAAAAATGAATAATTTTTTGTTTTTCTTTATTGTAGCTCGAAGATCCCGAACCTGGAACGTTCAAGCCTTGGAATGTAATCGTGTAAAATAACAGAAAAAAATATATAAACAGTATTTTGTATTTTATTTAAGTTGGTTTATATCTGGAGAATAAATAGTATCTATAAAGGAAAGTAACCAAATATGGAATAACATTTAGTTTTTGTTGTTATACTGTATGTCCCGGATTGTCTTTACAAGAGGAAAAACTTTTTTATCATTGACATTTTGAGAAAAATATATTCATAAAAAATTTTGCGTGTTCTAAAATGGTTAATCCCGTTTATACTTTTCCAAATATCCATACCGTTTTAGAGAAAATTAAAAAAAAAACATGAAAATATGTTTCAATTTTTTCTAAGGTATCTATTATATTTTGTTATTAATTATGATTAACGTCATATTTTTTGCTCTTGTTAAAGTATCACATTTTCCGATAACTACTACCACCCTTTCCTTAGCATTGAACTAAGTAAATTTTGAGCTTCTTTAACATTTTAAAACAAAAAATATGACGATGACGTTAATTAAAATTCTCTCAACAATAATCTATCAAAGAATAAAAACGAAATTACATTACCATAAAAACGCGTTCAACAAAAAAAATTCAACTATATTTTCATGTTTTCTTTTTCTAATTTCGTTTTTTAATTTTTTTTCTCTAGCATTGTCTAATGTCGCTTAACTAAGGTGATATCGGTTGCCGAAGGATAAATAGCAGAGTATTTAATTCTTTTAGTTTTTAGACAGAAAAATTACTCAACGAATATTTTTTGTATTATTATTTATATTTTATTAATTCAAATTGGTCTTATTTAATAAGGAATTTTGTATTCGTATTTTATGATATTATATTTTGATTGATCTAGGTAGTTTTAATCAGGTTTTTGAAGTCTTCTATGTTAAACTCCTTTGATATACGCATTAGATAGCTTACAGCAGCTGAAAATAAATTTAAAAGAAATGTTCTTATGAACTAAAAATACCAGAAAATTAATATTTTTACCTTTCAATTGAGATTCTGAAGTAATTTCTCCTCGTCCTATATATTTTGCAATTAGGTCATTCTCCAACAGAAAATACATCTTGTGCCTTAAAATTAACGTTTCCAGCAATTTCATTTCTCGATACCCAATCTGCCTTTTGCATTTTTTGGCTTCTTTTTCACTCAATATGAAAACTTTGACAAAAAGATCCGTTATTTCTTTTTCAATTTCAATTGCAGAATCACAATTTAAATCAATCTAAAATAATTAAGAATACTCGTATATTTATTCAATTAGCAATGCTCTCTACACTCACCGGCACGAAAAACGGGCACCTTAAAATTTTTATGAATTTTAAAGTTTAATATATTTTATTATAGCGGACCGATTTTAATGATTTTTTAAGCAATTTGTAGCTAAATTATTTGACATTTTGGTGTCTCTCTCTAAATTAAAAATGAAAGTTTCCATCTGTCAATTATACGAGGGAAAACAAAATGTTGATTTTTTGGTGAAAGTTTGAAACACCCTGTGGAATATCTTAACAAGGCAAGGAATTTAAAAATAATTTTGTCATCTAGGTACGTTTTTTCTCAATAGTTTGTTTTTTGATTCATCTCGATAGCTTTATTTTTATTGGAGATATTCGCTTTTGAATAAGACAGTAACGATTTGCAACAATTTTGGCATTGATTTTTTGTCCTCATCAGCACACTTATAAAATAGTGTATATCATAGGTGTATATTATTTATGTAATGTCACTGTCATTAGAAACTCATATTATTATAGTTAATTGGCGTTAACTCTAGTAGAGGTCGTTTTAAGTTCTGAAGTATAGGCTATTTGCTGGTTTTTGAATTGATAATGGTAGATATCAACTTTTGAACTTAAAACCACATCTGCTAAAGAAACTGCCCAACAGACAATAATAATAAAAATTTTCAAAGACAGTGACATTACATAAATCATAAACACTATTTTATAGGTCTGTTGACTATGACCAAAAGCAAAGGCATAGTTTTAATGTAAAAAATATGAAAAAATGTTAGTGTCTTCTTCAAAAGTGAATATCTCCTAAAAAAATAAAGCTATTGAAATGAATCAAAAAATAAACTATCGAGAAAAGATACAAGTAGATGATAAAATTATTTTTAAATGCCTTGATTTGTTAACGTACTCCACAGGATGTTTCAAACTTTTACCATAATATCAACATTTTGTTTTCCCTCGTATAATTGACAGATGGCAAGTTTTATTTTTAATTTAGAAGGAGATACTAAAAAGACAAACAATTTAGCTACACATTGCTTAAAAAATCATCAAAATCGGTCAACTAGAACATAATATATTCTGTGTACCACGGGAATTATAAAGTGTTAATAACCTCGGGCAATTATTGTCCCTCTTTGCATGTCAAGTTCAAATACCTTTCTTAAAAAGTATTTGGACAAGTTCATACCTGCAATCACAGGAAGTGAAATATCTCGGAATAACCCTGGATAGTAAACTTTTCTGGAACAGGCATATTAAGAACATTACCAGCAAAGCCACAAAGGCTCTCATGGTATGCAGAAGACTGGCGGGAAATAGGTGGGGCTGCGCCCCTAACATTTTGCGCTGGATGTATAACATGATAGTAAGGCCCATGATTACTTATGGAGCAGTTGCTTGTTATACAAAACTAGAGCAACGTATAGCAAGGCAAAACCTGTGCAAAGTACAGAGACTGGCATGTATCTGCATCACAGGTGACATGAGAACATGTCCGACAGCAGCAATGGAGGTCATTCTAGACCTAACACCACTGCACATTGTCGTCGGTAGTTATGCCAATGCGACAATGATTAGAATGGTCATTGATGGAAACAGTACTGGGATAATTTTCAGGTCAGGGGCTTGGAACACCCTCAAAAAGAAAATTCCACTTCTCCAACTCCCAGTGGATGACATACCAAGAATTTACAACTTTGAGAAACACCTCACTGTAGTATTGAGCAATAAAAAGGATTGGAAGAAAGAAATGCTTACTCAGCATATAAAAGACCATACCATCACGTGGTATACTGATGCTTCCAAAACCAAAACAGGGACAGGGATAGGAGTATTTGGACCGAAAACTAAATACTCCGAACCAATGGACACCTACCCCAGTATCCTTCAGGCAGAAATTTGCGCTATCGAAAGATGCGTACAATTTATCTTAGATAGGAACTATCGAAAACAGGAAATTGCCATCCTATCCGATAGTCAAGCAGCACTTAACGCGATCAACTCAATAACCATCAATTCGAAGTTGGTCAAAGAATGCCTAGAGAAGCTCAACAAATTAAGCAAAGAAAATAAAGTCCTCCTACTCTGGGTGTCTGCTCACCAAGGGATAGAAGGCAATGAAAAAGCAAATGATCTAGCTAGAAAAGGAGCGAACACTCCACTAACTGGACCAGAACCGTTCTGTTTTACAAGCGGGAACCAACTGAACGCGGAACTGAAGAATCTGGAAGACTCCATCCGTAACTTGGAATGGGTGTCCTCCAACGGTCTAAGACACTCGAAAAAGTTCCTTAGAACTTATGACCGGGAAAAATCAAAGGTTTTCCTTGATTTAAGTAAAAACAATCTTCGGATTGTCACGGGGTTTCTAACAGGACACTGTCTCCTCAACGAACACCTCAGTAGGCTGAAACTGAGAAACAACGGCGAATGCAGATTTTGTGGGGAAAATGGGGAAACACCAGAACACCTTATCACTGAGTGCACCGAGACGACGACCATTCGTGGCATGAACCTTGGTACGTCTGATGTTGAGGATGGAGAGCTGGCCTTTGTGGAGCCGTCTCAGATACTGGCTTTCGTTAAAGCCCTGAGACTGTATGATGAGTTATAACTCGTTATAACTCAAGAAAGGGGAACATACAATAGATCTATAAGGTCGCGGTGATTAACTCCCCTCCTAAACATTCTACAGTCTACATTCTACATACCTGCAAAAGGTCGAAATGTCCGGAACACAACCTTTCAAGCAACATCAAAAGGCCGCAAATTTTAATTCCATCATCGATATTTCCGTTCGATTTCACCGCCGCTGCCAACATTGCAAAATCTTTTTTGGCGCCTAACGCTAATTTTTCCACCATTTCTTTAACTCTCATTTCATCTAGCGTCTGAAAAAAGAGAAAACATTTTACTTATTTTCTACATTTTTCATTTAGACTGTAATCAGAGTTCATATTATTAACAAATTGCGTAAAATATACAGGGTGTTCCATTTAAATTAAACAAATTATTGCCGTTTAAAGCTAGTAATTATATATGACCAATTTTTAGACGCTCTGTATAAGGTATTAATATTTTTATTATTGCAGCATAAAATTTAGTGAATAGAAAAACTTCAGTACAATATTTGGTTTTAAAAACTTATAGCGTGAACAACCCTGTATATCTCTGGAAAAATTCAAATTCGCAATTTGCAATAATATAAACTCCCAACTTTATTTATAAATACCATCAATATTTTGGACTCCATACAACTTTCGTTTGATTTTCTCGTAAAAAAACTCTTAAATTTCTCACTTCTTGCCTTTTTAATTGTTGTGCGTTTTTGAGAGATGACAGCAGGTACAAGGACTGTTTCCAGAAATTCCCCATTCTTCAAAAACGATTGACACAAAGCAAATTCTTTGTCATACGCCTGCATTATCATGTTTATAAATTTTTGTTCAGCTTTCTGGTGAATCTTACCACAAACATCACTTTCTAAATACATGAAAACATCTAAATTCAAAGCTTGGTTATTGAAAACTAGTTTACAATTGTTCTCTAAAACAAAATTGTTCTTGTCAAATTGAACCAACAGGAAATCATCTTCGTTTTCTGATGATGCCAAGAAATAGTCATTCGCCAACATAATATTTAAAGAAAACTCCTGAAAAACCTCCTCATTGTTGTTCACTTTAGTCTCGCTATTTTCCCTAACTTTTTTTGCGTAACTTTGACAATCCTCAGACATTTTTCTGTAGCAATCACTCTGCAGATCCGTAACAACATTCAATTCCGAACTCTTCTTCGATTTCAACATCGTAATGATCTTGCATTTCTTGAAAAAACTGCTGCAAGAATTCTGTTTCGACTTGATACTAGAATACCCGCTTTCGGTGGTACTTTTCGACATATAAAAACATGAATTCTCCACGTTGTACTGGTTCATATCCATGTCGAAGTTGTGCTCGACTTTTGTAAAACTTTGAAGAAATTTCTCACTGGTTTCACTTTTGTTGGAGTCCGAAGAATGTTCGTAGAGATAATCAAACGATGTGCTGTTGTCAAATAACATAGGACAACTGATTGGTTGGATTAAACAATTATTCTGTTCAGAAATACCGAAACTCTGGCACGAAAGCGATCGGTTACAACCAAAATTACCTGGAAAAACCTCCCCAAACTTTCCACCAGAACATATTCCAGGCTTCTCTTCCTTATTGGTCTTTTCCAATCCGCTCGATGTACAATAATTGGACATCGAACTGTGTAAAAGATCCAAAAAGCTCATAAACTCATGACATCCGTTACAGTTTTGTGTAAAAGAGCTACAAAAGCACTTGTTTCCATTGAGAACAGCCTGAAGCTCATTAGTCTTGTTTAGTTTTAATAACTTCTTGCATAACTCCACTAAAGCTTCTTGCTCCTTAAGTTCCTTATTGAAATAAATCTTAGTTACAGAGGATTCTTCATCTTTTACAGCTTCTACAGCCTCTTTGCTTTGCTCAACATCTTCTTCGCGATTATTATCACCTCTATCAAGCTTGTCACTCTTTTTTACAACACAGTTATCTTTTTTATGGAAAATAGGCGATATCGGACGTTTTCGTTCCTTCAAAAGGTTGTCTTGGTTGATCATTGAAAGGAAACGAACTTCAAAAACTTGAGGGGTCATTTCCATGCGTGATAATTTAAATTTTCTCTTCATTCTTTTCCTGATGGACTGGTCATACAGTTTTCTTCTCTGATACGAGCTGATCTCTCCAGTTTTGTAATCTTTTGTCAAGAATAATCTACCAGTAAGTTTATTTTCTATATCATTTTCGAGTCCTTGAGAACGATTTACTGTAGGTTTGTTAGTGAATTTTTCGATGTTATTACTGATAAAACTTCCACATGTATCGTGGAATTCCTTTAACCCTCTTTTAGTACCGCAAGTGGTTTTTGACCTAGGTTCTTCTTTCTTCTCTTTTTTGATGTCGTTCAAAGACTGGCTTCGTTTAACGTTTTCTAAAGTATCACTCAGGGAAGAAGAAGTGGAACTAACATTAACTTCTTTCAGTTCTCCTTTCTTTTGCTTCCATATCACCGGAAGCACGGCTAGAGGTTTTGTGATAGCACCAAACCGAGAGACAATACCTTCTTTTTTGTTTGGGGTCTTTGGTGTTCTTGGTGAATGAGGAAAGCAAGCATTCAGGCAGGTATCTGTAGGTACGTTATGATCTTTCATTACTTTATCTTTAGTTTTTCGAGTCAATCGATCTTTTAGAGGAGTTTTTGCTTTACGTAGTTTATTTTTAATATTTTGATCCATATTATCGTTGTTATTAACAAAGATCTCGTGCTTTTCTACAGTTAAAACTGTTTGGGGACACGTCAGTTCAAAGTTGTTATTGAGTGTTCGTGGAGGAGACTTTTTATTTGAACTCCTTTCTCTCGATTTTTGTTGAGTTTGTTTTCTCACCGGAGATCTTGGCGTGCAAACTTTTAGTTTTGGTGCCTCTACTTGATAGGCCTAAATAAAACAATAAAAAATAATTACTTAAAAATATTTCTACAAAAATTAATAAAAGTTGGCGTGCAGTCGTCATCAAAATATTTGGCAAATGCACATCGCACTCTTGCTACGGCTACTTTTTTTACTTCAACTTTTCACGAATTTAAATGTCAAATAAAATTAGTAATTTTCTCAGCGATTTCTCACCTCAATTTTAGACACAATACTCTTACACATAGAAATATTTTTTTTATATTTTTATTATTATTATTATATAAACAAATTTTAATTAAATGATGTTTAATATTAGTATTTTAATAAAACGCGCTTTTAAATGTGTCAAATTTAATGAGAGTAACTTTATCTCTACATTTGTTTCCGCTTGTTAAGCCTTTTTCAAGAGTTTTTTTTAAACTAACCGTCTGACTAGGTTGCAATGATATATTTGCTATGGTTGTGGGTTTAGGGGAGTTTACAATACTCTACTATATTCTTTTTTACAATAGGAGTAATAAAAATGTGTTTAGAAATCCTTGTTGGTCGTTTATATTATTTTCGTTTTAGCTAATTTTAATATTTCTAACTGTTCAAGGTAATTTAATCCTCTACCTTTTGTTTCCCTGTGTAATAACTTAATTGAGATGTCAGTAATAAAAAAAGAGCGCTCTAATTCGAACGAATTTATGTTTATTAGAAATTCAGTTTGGTAACACTGTAGATGTCTGTGAACGCTAAATTTTATTGATTTTTCTATAGATTATATCTACCATATACTTACTTCTTTCATCTCTGTTTGATCAGTAATATAAATAGGCGATATTGCCACACTCTTTAGCTGTTTAACCCTCTTCTGTGGTCGAATCAATGGAATCGACGTTTTTAATTTTGCTTCTACAGCCACTTCTTTAGTGACTGTATTTTTTGTAATCCTACTCCTAGACCCAACAGCTACATCAATTTTTTCTGCTGCCCATCTTTCACAGGGATCTTTATTTTTCTTTGAGTCAGTGACCTCTTGGGTAACATTGCTTTTAGAGGAAGAACCAAAGACATCATAAACTTCTTTTGGATCATTTGTTTTAAAATCTGGATATTTAATATCTGCATGGTATATTTCTTCTAACTCTTCTAATTTTTCGTCAGTAAGAGATACTTCAGTCAATTTTATATCAGAAACTTGACATTCCTTGTTATATTTACAACTTTTTTCGATACGTTTTAAGGAATCTAAAACGGTTTTGAAAAGTAAAGTGTTTTTCTCATGAGATATTGTTAGTAAAACATCAGATTTTGATTTGATTGTACTAATTTTAGAATCTTTTGCTATTGATTCATATTTTACATGATTATATCGATGACATTGCTCAGAATTGGCCTTTTTTCGTAAATCAAAGCAGTATTCTGAATGACTGCTGGCCAAAGGTTTAAAATAGCATTCATGTAGCTTCGTGCATATCGTAGTATTCTTCGTAAAGACTTCTTGTTCCACTTCTTCCTCTAGAGGAATAGTGACATCCTTGTTACTGTCACTCAGTAAGTTGTGACATTCTTCCTTCAAAGTTTGTACGTTTGAATATTTATAATACATCTTAAACCTTCTAGAAGTCTTCCTTTTTTCAACAAGATCAGTATCTTTAAGAGATTTGCCTGTCTCTACAGCCACAGAAGGTTTAAAAGTGTCTATAGGTGGTATTCCTACTATATGATGCGTTTTAGATACCATTTTCTTCGTATGATCTTTATTTTTCTTAGAGTTTTCTGAACTTAGAGGTTTCAGCTCTTGGATAGTAAGTTTTTCCGCAGTTTCTAGTTTTCTAGCTTCCTTATGAACCCTGTTGGATTCTTTGATTGAAAAATTATAGTATTCTCGACAACAAAATGGATAATTTTCGTATCTACACTTTGGATGATGACTTTGAGGATTTTCAAGCGACGATCTGTAACAAATATATGATTTATCAGGAAAAATCATTAAATATTATCATGTCATTATATGCTCTGTATAGAAACTCTACATACCTGTCTGTGTTCGTTGTTGATACCCTGTTTCGTCCTTTTCCACTAACAAACAAGTCAGTTTTCTGGTTCTCGTAGCTCGTCTTTGAAGGAAAACTCAAAGGTTTCTCAGAACATGTTGTACAGTCCAAAGGAGAAATATAATGCGTGTCAAATGAATAAATTGGAAGAAGTCGTTCGTTTTTAGTTGAAGCATTCGTGTGTGGACTCCTATGTAATCTTCTTTTTTCTGAAACAACCTCAACGTGAGTTTTTGGACTTTCTACCTCTTTTATCACTTCTATTTTCTTTTCTTCTGTTTCTAGCTGGGTTATATGTGAACGTTTCTTTTCTTCATGTCTAGACTTATGTTTTTTTCTTTCTTCTTTACGTAGTTTTTTTAGTACTTCATTCACAATTTCGTCTTTGTATTTTCGTTCCTTCTTTACATCAGCAGAATCACTTCTTTTGCTTTCTCTGGTTTTAGATTTTGGTGGTTCGTTTTCATCTAGTTTTGGGATGGATTTTTCGTTATCTTTTTTAGCAAACTGCATGAAACCATCCAGTTTTTTATCGAGAATATGCTGAAATTTGGCAAAATAGTTTTTCATATTGCTTTCGACAATTTTTCGTATTTCTTCTTCTTTCATGGTTGTGGATTGGTCTTGATGACATTTTTTGTCTTCTTTTTGTATATCTGCACTTGTCTTTCGTGCTTTTTTGTTTTCTGAATGTTTATTTTGGTCTTTAATTGCGTTGTCATTATTTTCCTCTGATTTACATCTAAAAGCAATAAAGATATATTTTAGAATACATTTTTTCAAGAAAAAAAAAGGCTGTCAACTGCATTCAATTCACAAAATTATAAATTTAAATTAAAATTAAGATCACGGTATACATATAGTAGTAGCATATACCAGGTGCGTCTAAAAAATGGCTCACCCCTTTAACTTTTTTAATTTTTTTAGATAAAAATTTTGGTATGTTAGTATAAGACATAAATTAGGATTAATTGACGTATTCAATTGTTTTCGGTTACTTCCTGTTTCACCGGAAATGACTACAACTTTTGATTTTTAAATGGCATACTCCGTATTTTTTTTACTTTATTCGGTAGAAAATGACACTCTAAATAGAATGCCATATCATATGCCAACTTTTGACATTCTCGCTTAAAAAATCGTATTTTTAATTTCAATGGTTAGTGTAATGGCTGTGTTAAAAACACTAATTTTTAATCAAGGATTCTTGGAAAAATACCTAGATTATTCCAGCTCTTCATTTCTACATCAAGCATATATACTACCTAAAACTAAAAAGAATACCTTTTATGATTTCTTGTTGAACGTTCTTTATTCTCTCTAAAATCGCGACTAACACAACTTCTCTTCAATCCAAAATGTTTTGACTCTCTCCTACTTTCATTCTTTTCATTCTTCTTATTTTCTATCTGCTCCTTTATTTCTCTGCACAATTTATGATCTTTCTCATTTTTTAGTCTTTTATACAAGTCCTTCACTTCAGTTGAATTTTTATCGTTCCTCATCACTAAAGGCACTTGGTGGGTTTGACAGAAGATCACTTCTTGAACGGTATTGCAAGGTTTCTCATGTCTTCTTCTACTCGTATGTTTTTCAGACTTTTCTTTATTGTTTTTTGAGGGGGCGCGTTCTTCAGATTTTTTGCTTTTCTTTGTTAGTTCTTTTTCATCTAGTTTTTCTCTGTGTTTTTGTTTCTTTTTATAATGCTGTTTTTCCTTTTTCTCTTCTTTATGAGACTCTTCAAACGATTTTTCTCTTCTAAATAAATTTCTAGTCTTGCTTAATAAATTATTACTCTCATTCTCAACAGATCCCTGTGCCACAATCAAGTTTTTTTCTAACTTTTCACTATTTTTTACTTTTTTCTTTCTTCTATGCTTGTCTTTAGCAACGTTTTTGACATTATCTTTTGCAAAATCACCACAAGCGTTCTGATCTACATGTATTTTCTCTACGGATGTCTCTTGTATGGGGTCTAGGACGTTTTTTGAGCGATGATGTTTTCGATGATGCTTTTTTGGTTTTGAATTGTGCTGTTTGGAAACATCCTTGTGTCGAGGTCGATGAGGCTTATGCGTTTTGGAGTTATGCATCTCATATTCTGATTATTCTTTACATCAGCTACCTCAGGGCAGAACTAAAATTTCTCACAATACAAACAACAATAGCGTTCATTAGGTAAATTTTTTGGCGTCTTATGACGTATATCCATTATGACGTATAAGTGACATTGAAAAATGCAACACTCACAACACCTATGGAGAGAAAGAATGGGAAAGCAACCGAGTAATGAACACTCAAGAGATAGCAGTCTACACAAATGCTTCCGTAACTTCAGGAGGCACAGGTATAGGCATCTTCTCAGAAGAACTAGACATCCGACGATCTTTGAGGCTATCGGAGCTGTAATGTTCTACGAGCAGAGGTTTACGCTATAAAGGATACGTAAGGCCAGTTGTATACGAGAGATATTATATACGAGAGAAAATTGCTGATAGACCAATAGGGGATATCTTGATATACTCTGACAACTTGAGCGCTTTAACAAGCATCACCATGCAATCAGTGAGATCGAAAACTGCGATGGACTGCCGTAAAGCACTGTCCGAGCTACGTCAAGACGGGGCTATTCTGTGCTGGGTGTCGGGCCAAAGGCAATGTGGGTGTCAATCAAGAATCAGACACACTCGTCAAAGAGGGGGCCAGAGGAGAGACCGTCGCAGATGACCCATCACTTGTGACGATCAACACGCTGAAAGAAGCTATAGAAACTACCATCTAGGTCAAGCAGCAAGAGATGTAGCAACACCGTGAGGACTGCGCTACAGCTCGAAGACTGTGGCCAGTGGTAGATAGCAAAAAGACAAAACAACTACTAGAGCACAAAAAGTTTAATCTATAAATAATAAACTAAACTCTTTTTAATTTGTATAATTAAATTACTTTAATTATTACGATATAAAGTTGTTTATTTTGTAACAATTTAAAGGTAATAAGCCCCTAACTGCCTAATTAACTAAATTTCAATTAACATGTTTACTCATGCGTTCAAATTTAAATTAAATTGATCCCGCATAGCCAGTCAATTACAAATAATTTTAATTATGTTGATTTATCGTTTATAATATGTTCGACCTAATTAAAAGCATACAGAGTGTTCTTATTGGCCAGGACAGATTAGTGGGGTTAACTCTAATCAATATCCATAAAGACATTGAAATAAATGTTGATGCTGTTATTGACAGGTTTTCCAAACAGTGTACTAGAAAACTTGATTTTGTTTTGTAGTTTTATTTATAGTGTATAGTTTTTATAGTTTTTTTTTGATAGTTTAGAGTTTTTTATTTATAGTTTATAGAAAATTAACTAATAAACGTCGTTGTTTCATTTTTGTTTATGTTATTTACAAATCTATATTTTAATTTTTGTGTTATGTTTTTATATATTTTTGAAGACAAAAAAATCGCCGTCGTTTTAATTCGACAAAAAAATTCCGACGGTGATTTTTTTGCGACTTAATCATAGTACCACCCCCATAGCATACACCTATCTACGCCCCTGGCCCCACGGGGGTAAACCTCTAAGGTGGAAGGTTTCCAACGACGACTGCTGTAGAGAATGCGGAGAGGAAAAAGAAACCATAGGGCACCTGCTGTGCCACTGTCCGGCACTGGAATACCGACGCTTTAAAACTTTAGAGTAAGGTTTTTTGGATGGACTAAGGGAAGCAGTAGAAGCCAACATCGGCGACATCGGGAACTTTGCAAAGAGCTGGAAGTGATTTATTAACACAAAGAAAGAATGAGAGAAAGGTTTAATAAACAAAGGCTGTACTATACTATACCCCAAAAATAATGTATACTCTATAAATAATAAACTAAACTCTTTTTAATTTGTATAATTAAATTACTTTAATTATTACGATATAAAGTTGTTTATTTTGTAACAATTTAAATGTAATAAGCCCCTAACTGCCTAATTAACTAAATTTCAATTAACATGTTTACTCATGCGTTCAAATTTAAATTAATTTGATCCCGCATAGCCAGTCAATTACAAATAAACTATTATTTTAGCGACACAGGTAAGTAAACTAATTACTGCTTTGATTTAATTTCCTACTAGAACTTCACGGCACCCTCTAGCAAAGTTTCTTCAATATACAGGAACATTATTATACTGATCTATCTCGGCCTTTAAGTCCTTACGAGTCATTTTCATTCAGTGTAGATTTTGTAAAATGAAGCTCCATCCTGTAGGTAAAGCATTATTTTAAAATATATAGAGGTTGTCCCTTGAATAAATGTAATTATTGTAGACCTACACAAAAAATCATATTTTCACGATGAAAAAGGTGGGATGCAGTCAAGCATGAGATTGTCCACTGAGAATGTCAGCTTTTGTGTACTTTATAAGTGGTTATACAGGGTGGTCCGAACTGTATTCCTTCGGCAGCATATACTGTAGATAAAAATAAGTAAAAAAGTTCGTATAAATATATGTGCCAAAATGCTTAGTTTCGGAGATACAGGATGTAGAAGTTTCATTTTTATTTCGATTTTTTTCAAATAATTTCTGAAGTAACGTCAATATCCGGATGAAAATTGGTGTCTGGGAGTTTTTTAACATGAGAAATTTGATTTCGATGTCAATATGACTCCTTTTTGTAGGGGGCGCCGTTTACATGTGTTTTAACTGTTTTGAAGAGTAATAACTTTTCGTCCGTACCTGTATAAAGCTACTGAGTGAAAAAATATACATTTCCGTGACATTTTACGTAAAAAATATCTCTTGGTAAAAATTGCTACGAGGAACTATTCTTAAGATATTTAGAATGGAATATTAGAATGGAAATTTATTTAGAATTTTTTTAAATTAATCATAAATTTTTCTGTGATCATCTGATGATAAAACAATTTTTGTTGAACTTTTGGCAAAAAGACATTTTAAGTTTATGATTTCAGTCTAATAACTATTTAGTCAACATGTCAATGATGATAGCTATTGATAATTTCGATTGCAAATATCTCAAGAACCATTAATTGTAGCGATTTTTACCAAGAGACCTTTGCTAGGTAAAAAACGTCGTAAATGTGTATTTTTTTTACTCTGTAGTTTTATAAAGGTACGGACGAAAAGTTAATACTCTTCAAACCAGTGAAAAAATATGTAGGTGGCGCCCTCTACAAGTAGGAGTTATATTGACATCAAAATCAAATTTCTCATGTCAAAAAACTCCCAGACACCAATTTTCATCCAAATATTGACGTTACTTCAGAAATTATTTAAAAAAATTGAAATAAAAATGAAACTTCTACATCTTTAATCTCCGAAACTCGAAGTTTCCGTAATACAGTTCAGACCACCCTGTATATTTTAAGGAAAGTAAGAGCAAAAAGGTAGCTGTATATCTAATCAAATATTCTTGAGCATAACGATGCTGCATATGGATGTATGTTAATTTTAAGTAATATCGTAGTAACCGTAACGAGGGCTACTAATTACCGTTCGTGTTAAAGTACGCCGGGGGGTGTTTAAACCTAATCCTTTCGTACGGAACGCGCCAACTTGACCTTGTATTATTCGAAAATAGCTTTTGGCAGAGAGGGTGTTATTGTTTTGAGACTCGTGAAACAATTGCCTTGTTTGGAGTTTGTTTGAAAGCAAAAAGCTATTTCAGTTGTCTAATTAAATACAATTATATAGTTATATGTATATTCCTGAAACTAGGTATTTACTTAAATTACAATGTTTATAATACTTACCTAAAAGTTTTGGCGTAAATAAGTATTCTTATACTGAGTGAGAAAATAGGGAACACCTATACAGGGTGATTCACGGCCATGACACGTTAGACGTTTATGGAGAACCGGTGATGAAAATCCCCGGGTTTTGAAAATTTGCATCTTTGCATAAAGGCACCTGCTCCACCTGTCTAAATTATTTTCAATATTAAAGTGTTGCCGCTTCATACTAAAAGTGGTAGCATCTATGTTATTTTAAATGGAACACCCGGTATATTATTATAATTTTAAAAACTATTTCCATATATCAACATTTTTTTATTATACTAACCTATATCAATATCTAATAGTTTTCGCGATAAAAAATAACATATGTGTAAAATTGTCAAAAATATGACCTTGAATAAGCATTGGTTAAATCATAAATTCGGCATATCGAAAGCTAAAATTTGGTTTATAGGTTAAGGAAAGTCGACATATTTGATATTTCTAAATCCAGCTGATTAGATAAATAGATATCCCACAGGGAGGCCAGAAAAAATAATTATTTCCGTTTGTTATAAAATCGTTCACATTATTGTTATTTTAAATTCAAGCCTATGTTATTATTTAAAAAATCGAAACTCAAATAAAATTCCATTTCAACGATATATCATGTTCCTATAGCTAAACCTTCTGGTTTCTTCAGTAAAGCCATTTAAGAGATAATATTTCTATTATAATTGTTTCGTTTAAAGAACATTGTTACCATGACAAATATTCAAACTTTATAAATATCAATTAGAGTTTATTTTTATTTCGTTACAATTAAAACAATGTTTCTGTAATATTTAAAAAAAATAAATTAAATATAGGGCATAGATAAATGAAACAAGTTTAGATTGGAAAGCGCCCATAAGGACAATGTAAACACTATTTGGCGCTATTCTTGCAACGGTCGCGACCCAAAACTTTTGAAAATTTCGGAGCGGTTCGGCTTTTTCCGGAATTATATCGCCAAATATTGTTTATTCAAATTTATTATTATTTTCGTTTAATTTTATAAATAAAATACAGTGTGTTGCATACAAGAAACTTTATTTTATATAAGGACGCACGTATGAAATACCTATGAAACATTGGAAACCGACGTTATGCCACGATCCACGATGGTTTTTGCAGTTCACAGTTCACAGCACAGCTTTTTAAGTTTTTAATCAATTCACTTTTTCACAATTATCACCGGTTGGAGTAAATAAAACTTGAATTGAACTCACAAGATAGCAATAATTACTTTGAAAATGGACGCTATAAACACTTTTCGGAATTAATTTAATGAGGGCGGTTTAGATTTTGAAAGACTATTATGATTTTTGAAGATTCTGACTTTGACAAGAGAAAATTATTTCTGTTTTTGTTTGCCGTTGTTCTTAGCGACCGCTATAGCAGCGCCAGATCGCGTATAACGGTCGCGACCCAAAATAGTTTCGCGACCCAAAATT